GAAACGATGAGAAAGAAGTGAGCAGTGAAAGGTGGGCGGTACACCGGCAGCATGGTTGGCCGTCATGTAAGAATTGTATATAACACCGTCATAAATTGAAAAACCTGTAACTCGGCTCCACTGAAAATTGACCTATTAGTAAATTATGCGAACATCCAGAAGAACGCTGGAAGAGTAATTCTACGATCCGCGCGCGCTGGCCTTCCACTTATAAAAGATTCGAAGTAAATAATCATAATAAATCTTTGACGAACGCGCGTGCACGACAAAATTTGTTTTAGGCTTTTTGCTTCAGAACAGTTATTACTGTAGACGCCAGCAGGTGCAGCGCGTGTAACTACACTCGTAGCATACACCTCGGTGCTTGGGAAATGTAGCAAAAGGTCTATGGGAACGCTCTCTGCTTTTGTGTGCTATCAATACCCGGCCGATTGAGTCAAGGCAATCCACTTTCCAAAGACGTTGCCATGCCGACAACTATCGCGTTCATTTAGGCTTAGGAATGGCCAGAGTCGAAAGTCTATCTACAAAGTGCGGCGAGGTCATTGCTCATGTTTTGCATTTTAAGTGAGGTAAGGCAACGCGAAAACCTCCTGCACCATTCATTGCTGACTAACGCGCCCGCTACTGCAGCTACTACAACGTATTAGTTCCTAAGCGAGCGGCGCTCACTCACCGGGGCACCGCCATGTTTCCCCACCGTCCTTACTCTGCCGGTCACGTGACCCAAAATTCCCCATCGTAGGGAAATCCAGTTAACCGCGGTTAGTTAACCAGCTTCGAGCAAACCGGCCCAGGGCGTTGTTGCTCCTATTCATCTTCATTGCATTATCCACCAGCAGTCACTGTGTTACAAAATGGTGCAATGCAGCGGCGACTCAACCCGCTGCGCAAAAAGGTTGCCGACCACTGGTTTAGAGTATCGAGCACCCACTCCAGTAAACGTACAAGCCACCCAAGTTGCTCCTCCGCGTTAGCTGCTTGTCCCAGAACCAAGTGCCAAGCGGGAAGTTTTACATGCATACGTCGGTGCAAAGTGGCAAAGCTCCACGTGAGACCACCTGCACAAAGCAGGCTCGATGAGAGTGATGTGGCCACTTTAAAGCTTAGGTGCCCATACCACTCTTATACCGTTCTGTCTTATCAACCGAAGGCCTACCTTACTGTCAGAGCCGTATATGTAGAGAGTTTGGCCATTCGTTGGGAAGTATAGGAGACAAATGAGGAGGCGTCATTGGCTGAAAGCGGGCTGGGCGTGTTCCAGGGCGTCTTCACAAATTCGAATGTGACCACCCAGAAGCCGGAAATAATACCCTGGCGGTGGTCACGAAAAACAAACCTGATAACTGCATTAGAGTAACTCTCGATGACTGAAAATATGGTACACGTGACGTTTCCATCGCGCTCAGACAAAATGATGGTGGAGGAGTGCGACTAGCGGAACGATCGACATAATCCGTATGCCAAGCGCCCAGGGCCGGGAATCTGCCGTCCGAGCGGTCACACTCTGTCCGAGCAAAACAGAGTTGAGCGGCGCATTCGTTTCTTACATCTTTCTGCATGATTATGACCGAAACATCACGTGCACCCTGTTTTCAGCCACAAAGAGTTAGTACACTTCACTCTTACGCGCTTATTAAAACCATATACGAACATAAAGCTTCGATCAGAACTGTTTCTCGCTACCGCCGCTAGGGGATTCTTTTCGGCTTCTGGTTGGTCAAGAGAGCATGCCAAGCCTTCTTTCTGAGTCTGGTGCACGCCCTGGCCCTGCCCGCGCCTCCCATTGACCGAACTCTCTCAATACACGGCTCTGCTTACTGTGTGCCCCTTCTGCTCTTCCACCTAACGTGCACCCATTTTCGTTTTTGTGATTATCTCCAGATTGGGTGCATGCTCTGTGTTTTACGGTAGTCAAGTCGCAATGTGTTTCATCGAGTCACGACGCGAAGGAGTTAGTGCAGGAGCTTACTTTTTTTTTTTTGCCACAGACAGAACAACACTTGAATGTAAGCTATATTCTGCCTGTGGTTAAAAAAAAAATATATATATATATATATATATAAAACTCTCATGTATTGATAACACTATGTATATATATATTTATTTCAGGGCTCAAAGGCACTGCAGAGGTGAGTTGGTTAGAAGGTGTATAAACAAAAAACAACAGATTCTAGAAATGGAAATAATTACCTGGTAATGAAATGCTAAAATGCTGATATTGTTAAGGCAGTTATTAAAGGTGATGCCACCAAATAAAGATCTCGCAGATGCCGGAAGGTGGTCCCTAGGAAACCATGGTGATTATGCAACAGTAACATTGCATGTTACAGTTATAAGCATGGTTATCATTATTGCTGCACTGTAATGTTACCGTTGTACTAGAACGGTCCTGACGTACCAAATATTTATACCTTTGTTAAACGAGGAAGGCCCGTGTATGCTAAGGTGCAACAGACATATTTTTGCTTTTCCACATTTTTTTTCTTTGTACAATGAAGTAGTACATTAGACAGTGGCAGTTCAGGAAGTGCTGTGCATTGAGAAGTGTACAATGTAAAAACAACAACAGAAAAAACATTTTTATAGTTTTATTATTCTAATAAATTAACTTAAAATACTGTAAACCAAGTGCCAGGTAAATAACAGGATAAGTAATGCAACAAATGTTTGGGTAACTTCCAGTGATTACACAAGCTACCTCAGGACAGGGTAATGCAGGGTGACGGCTCAGTGGGGTTTCATAAACCCCCCACTGGTTGGTAGGTGTAGAAGGGCACTGTTCTTGGCAAGTGCAGAACTTCGGCGTCAGAACTGAGAGGCGGCCCTAAACTTGCAAACAATGAGCATGGACTTTAGAACAGCCTAATGTTTGCACACACGAAGGGTAGACAAAGAACATTATGCACTGATTTTATATCCTTGGTAGCTCTTTTCACAACATTTGCTGTCCCACCTTAGTGCTGCTCTAACAAACATCCACTAAGGAGAATGGTCTTTTTCTTTTTTTAATTTGAGGTTTTTTTTTTTTGTTAGGATAGCAGTAACAAACTCTTGCTTCTTTATATTTTTTTTTTCATTAATACTAGCAAAGTTAATTGCAATGCTTTCTCATCCATCAGTTAAGAGTATTTTAAGTTGGTAGGATCATCATTATTGTACTTGGAAAATTAAGAATAGACAATCCATAATGCCAGATCAGTATATTTTAACTTTTGGAAAGACTAGTAGTGATGTCCACCTTAGCTTCTCTGCCTTCACATTTACTTACTATGTTAGCTTGGTGTAATTTTTGACATGGGTAGATTTTTTTGGAAAGGTAAAACACTTCTTTTCACTGACCACACTCGAAAGCACCATACTGAAGTTAAAGCTTAAAACTCTGAGGAAGTGACAGCTGTGTTTTAATCAGATAGAAACAGTCACGTGACCCCAACTTTTGTGAAAGGCTTACTTCTACAGAACGTCCGGAATGCTTTTCAGTAAATATTAGGAACTAAAATTGTCGGATGTTACAGATATTTCAGAAACTGACCAAGGTCAAATACAGCAAAGTAGTCTCCTTGAATTCAAGTGATATGTTTCTCTATATGGCCCGACGTACATGGCTCAGGCACATAGCCAGGGGGGGGCGGGGCATGGGGCCTGGCTCCCCCCCCCCCCCAAATCTTCCATCTTGCTGGGGCCTCCTCTCCCCCCTCCCCCTCATACAGGATTTTGTCATGGGCAGGCTACGTGCCTGGCATGGCTATTCTTCTATTGGATATTAGATTCCCTTTTCAATATTCTTAGGGTTGCCGCTTCATATATGCGATCGAATGAACTATAAAAAGATGTATTGACTGGCCTATAAGCTGGATTGCAATACATGTACAATGAATCTGAATCCGAGAAAAATGGCTAAAAACCAGAATTCTTGCAGTGCCCAGAAAGCTTTTTATTCTGAAAACGAAGCGTCGCCCCATACTATATGTATTGAAGATTTCGAACGTGGTGCAGCACACCTGGCCCAGAATTCATTGCAAATTAAACACACAGCAATAGTGAATCCGAGGTGTTGGACTCTGGTTCAATTTTCGGTTCGGGCGAAAATAACCTTGGTTTTGATCGGGTTCTGGTCCACGTACCAGAAGCTCATCAACTTTCCACGCACCTCAAAAACGTTCGATCAAAAGTCAAAACGCAGGCCTGCCACGCTCTAGCCATTTTTAATTGCGCAGGTGTTGCTGATTGCAACAGGTGCAACTTGATGCGGTCGATTGTTTCATGCCAGCGAGACCTCGTAAACGGACCTTTTTTTGTTTCTTTTTTTTCAATAAATTAACTTGCAAAGGTGATGCAGGCGGAATATGCTTTGCTCGGACGGCGGCTAGCTTCGAAGATACCGGCTCCCGCGGATGCTTTGATTCGTTTTGACGTGTATATCGATGCATATTGATTTTGCGAGCTGCTCCCTTTGCTTTCCCCCGTGCGAAGCGTCGAGATGCGTTATCTCGCTCCCAGTAAAGTTTACCGACCCCTCGAGTGCATAACCTAGACAGAAAATTTTCGCCGGCGTCACTGGCTCGTATCCGAAAGTCGCGATGTTTTGGGATGGTATCGCGATTTTAGGTGAAGGGCCGAACTGTAAGCTAGATTCCTTCTTTATTGCTCTTTTATTTTCATATATCTGTTGGTTTTTTTTTGTTTTTTATAGACGAGTCGTGGTGAACTTTTAAAAACACATCAGTCGTCTGCAAGAGAAAAGTATGCGCGCAGTCGCCGGGGGCTATCTGTTTTTTGCGACGAGCTTGCACGAGCTAGTTTTCTCGCAGCTATTTTTAACTCGCGCGCGCACGGCTGCTGCACGAGCGCTCTTCGTCACGGAAGCGCTAAGGGCTCTCGGTATACTCGCGTTCGTGAGCGGGTTTCGCATCACCGGTCTCCGTGGCTCAAAGATCGGTGATGCTGTGCACGGTGTTCGTGCCTCCAGAAATTAGGCTTAGGAGTGGTCTGCTTACCGTCCGAGGTATCATCTCGTCCGGGCTGTATTCTTCCTCGCCGGCGATGCTTCCGTCTCGTTTTCAGGCGCTCGTCGGATATGTGTAAACGAACGACATTGCGCAAAACAAACAAACAAAAAAAAAAACGGGACTAAACGCGTAAGGAAAAAAAAAACAGTGAACGCAAAGGAAAACAAACCACTCAGCAGCAGAGCCACCCACTGCCTCCGTCCGCCATCATTCCCAGCGTCGGATTCGTGCAGTTTGCCGTTTGCAGACGAAAATAAACATTGGAGGGGGAGGAGGGTGGGGAAAGCTACGAGTGCGTTCGATTCTGTAACTGCTCTTCGTTCGGGTTTCGGAGTCGCAGTGGCTGACCCTTACCTACCCCGCTTATTTGAGCTTTGGGTAGCGTTTTAGTGACGTCACGGGTATTTTACAGCAGCCTGGGGTTGTTGGTGTTACGAGCGCACGATAAATGAAGGCGTCCTTCTAAGTAAGTTATAGTTGGTTACTCTCAATGATCCTACTTACCCTTCGCATAGAAAGTTGAATGGAACTATTGCGTCATGGTCGGGTTTCCGACTGCGAAGGGTGAAATGTCTAACTCTACGTCGTGAGTGGGAGAAACGAACGATTCCGTACGAAATCGATTGCTACGCCACCTAGCGGTCGCGTGGGGTGCCAGTCGAACGCAGCGGCTTCGTTGATGTGTAAACGCGGCTTGGGACATCCTTTTGTTTAAAAACGGCTGTTGCGCAGCGGTTTTGGCGCGTGGGAAGTGGTACGGTGCGTACGTCTTCGTGCTACATAATCGGGAGCGCTCGGAGGACGACGAAATGGTGCCCAATCGCTGCGAAGACGGATTTTATTCAAGTCTCCCGCCCGCTCCCCTGCGAATGTCGCTCCTCTGCACGGTAAGCGTGTGTTGCGGGGAAGACGATCACGTGTGGTGCGCGAACTCGAGCACTTTTTCTTCAAATGTCGCGTCTCGTTTCTGCATTTGCTTATTTGTTTTTGCTGAGTTCAGTGTCCTTCTCGACGTACGTAGTCGACGTGCTACATCGACGCTTTCGTACGTCTACCCTGATCGGAAGTTTTGCATCAACGATCACTTTGTCCGTGACGTCGCGTGGATGGAGTTGGGATGTTCGGTTTTCATCTTTTCATGTGTGTCTGTGGTCTTCCTTCGCTTTAGTCGTCGCTTAGTACCTGCTTTGAGGCGGAAGCTTGGAGTGCTTCGAAAGCAGTTAATGAATTCATGATGCGCGCAGACTTCGCTGCTTCGGTTATCTCGCTGTCCCCGGATTGGACGCGGATCAAACACCATGTTTTAGGTTCGAGGGAGTGTATATATATATATATATATAGAGAGAGAGAGAGAGAGAGAGAAATGTGGTTTCGCGTTGGATCGTAGAATTTTGTGTAAGTTCTTAGCTGTTCTCATAAACAACCCTTCATTTCTTTCTTTCTTTTTTTTTTTTTTTTTTTGCTTTTGCGCAAAGAGTAGTTTGAGACGTAAATTTATATATGTACGTATTACCAAGTTCAGCACGTCACTCACGACTACAGAATAGCACAGCTTATACAGCTACCGCGTGGTTCCGATTCAACATGCCTGATTTTGTTAGGTTACATAAAGTTAGATTAGTTTAAGCCAGGTTAAGTTAACTTTGCTGGCGTTATTTTAAGTTAGGTAAAGTTCGGCTGGGTTAACTTACGTTAGATTAAGTTATGTTAGGTTAGGTTGATTGTTACTGGTAGTTTATAGTGGCTGTATTCGAAACAGAAGCGTTTTCTGCCGTATATTCGATTGTACCCTTTCCTCCAGCAAACAAATATATATATATATATATATATATATATATATATATATATATATATATATATATATATATATATATATATATTTATACATATATATATATATATATATATTTATTATTATTATATAATTTGCGGTACGATTTCGAGTCTAGCTTTACGCGAGGGCTGCCCTCGCTGTTTACGACGTTTACATAAGCCGTGACGGTTTTTTACGGACGGTCATTTGTTAGCGACGAAGGTTGAACAGCTGCTCTGCTCGGCAATTCTGCGGACCGGGCACGTGAGAGACCGCACACACCTGTGCGCTGGCCCTGATATCCATTCTTCCGTCGTTTTGTTCGCGTCTTTTTTTTTTTTTTATTTGTTTCCGTTTCTGCATTACCGCCGATCCCCGTCGTTTTTTTCTGGAATGACAAGAATGTTTAATAGAAGGAGCATTCCTCCGGTTTGTCAGATTCGCTTAAGCCTAACCGCGAGGTTTATATTTTTTATTTTATTTATTCTTTAACCGGGATGGAAGCTAGCCAAAGTTAAAGACAGTAGTTACAGGGCTTAAACACATTTTTGTCGCTTTTAGCGCGCCGATTTTATTTTTGTCTTTTATTTTTCGAGTTGGAGCGTTGCAACGTCCTGTTTTCTCGCGAAATTGGATTGGCAGGTCGCCTTATATGGGTGGGGAGTCGGCACAACTGACTTTTTTTTTTTCCTCTTCATTTTGTTGTTTCTTTTTTTTTTTTTCACACATACTTGCTGCGTGTGGTACGTGCGAGGCTTGGAGTGTACAGGCCATGCTCGTTGCGGCTGCGCGTGCAGAGATAGCGATTGCTGCGATCGCCGAGTCAAAAACACGCGACGAGCGATCGCTAACGACGCAGAAAACGGACCCGTAGCCAGCCAGACAGCAATCCACGTGTCAAGCGGCCGGCCGGAAGTAGGCCCGTTCGTGTCGTCACATCCGGTCCCGGCTTGCTCACGGAAAGCCGGTTCACCGCAAAAACCCGAGGGGGTCCCCCATTCAGTTCGTCCTCGAGAATCGAGCTAGGACCCAGCCTCCCCCCAAAAAAAAGATTGCGTCTTTTTCAGAGACAAATCCAGGTCAGTTTGCGTCGAAAGTGCTCGAAAAACTGCTCGCTGCGGCGGCGAAGCGAGGAAAAGAAGAACAACAACAACAAAAATTCCCGTGCCGTCTGCTACTTTTTGCTGCGATCCCGTGACGTCGGTGTATGACGTCAGGGCCCGGACGTTTTCTGCTTTGAAGATGGCGACGGGGTTAGGAGGTGTGAATGGATGTGCCGAGCCCGATATTGGAGATTCTAGGAAGAGGCCACTGGATTCCGAACTCGATATTGGCGCCACGAAAAGGTCCCACCATGGCGGAGGTAGCGTACCCATTTGTGTGCGGTATCGGGCACCGCGTCAGGGCCACGGGGCTCCGAGTCGGGTGTGACGTGGGGACGGGCACCATATGACATAGCGGCCTCTGCGGGTGCCCCGTAGTCGGCGAACCCACACCCCGAGCGCCGGACTAGGCTCGCGCTCGAACGCGTCGTCTTTCTGCCGTCCCCCGGGCCCTGGGAGAAACAGCAGCACTCGGCCCTCGGCTGCTTCTTTTTTTTCCTTACCGCAGTTCCCTTTTTTTTATCGTTATTACTTTTTGGTTTCCGTAATCGAGGAACACTCCGCCCTGCAGTCCGGTGTGGGGGGGTTTAGCTCTTCGTTTTTTTTCGGGAGGGACAGGAGGGGGGGAGGGGGGACGAAACTCGGATGTGTTTTTCTTCTTTCCTAGTTTGTATTTTTGTCGAGCGACGCAATGTGGGACAGTGCCGCTTCGCCGGACCAGTTGTTGCCGGCTACCTCCGCCAGCGAAGGTCGTCCATTTTCAACGCATTGTACGGAAGATATTCGCAGCGCCGAAGGCAAGTGCTCCTCAAAAAACATCACGAGCTTTTATTTATTTTTTTTCCGCCTTTTTACATTTTGTGCGACGATATCTGGACCGGCGTGTTTGGGACCCACCACCCCCGAGACCCTTTTTTTTTTTTTTCTTGCTTGTTTCTTCTACCTCGCCCATGCAGCCACCACCCCCCACTACTTCAAACATATCGTTCGTCGCACGATCAGTCCCGGCGTGTCGGACTGTTTTCTTTTTTACTATTCTTATTGTTAACCTTCATTATTAGTTCCAGCGTTTCGACACTATTACGGGCTAGGTTTTTAGCTCTCCATTTATTCCGTTCGAAACGGCAAAAGCCGAGCGCTCGTGCTTATTTTTGCGGTCGGTGGTGGCAGAGTTGTTTTTTTCCGTGCTGTCTCGGTTTTCCGTAGATGGCCTCTTCGGAGAGTTGACGAGAGGTGGGGAGGAGGCAGGGTTAGGAAAAAACAGCAACCCTTTTTGGGGCTAGGCCTATTGTCGGGACCGACCCCCTCAACCACCAAACATCACGAGGCAGGGTCCGCGCGGTGTCCCTTTTTTTCACCGGCGACCGGCGTGGTTTTCGCTTGGCCCGTCTCGTGGCCGAAAGACTCCGGGACGACAGACTGCCTCTCGGCGGCAGAGTGGGTGGCTTTGGCGTTGTCCGGAGTCTTCGTAGAGCTCGCTCGGTTTATTATTCATCGTGCGATTGTTTAGAACTTGTAGCGGCGTGTTCCTTTTGTTTTTCTTTCTTGGAAGAGGATTGAAAACGTCTTGGAAGCGTGTTGGTGGTTCGCGAGTGCTCAACGCTCCTTCGGTGGTGGAGGACATAGCAGTTCCGTGTCGCTCAACCGGCTAGCCTTTTTTTTTTTTTTTCCTCTTATTTTGCTTGTTTTGAGATGAGGAAAAGCACGTCGAGAAAAGCCCCAAAAAAGGAAAAATGGGGGGGGGGGGGGGGAGAAAATTTGAGACGTCCTTGTGCTTGACCTCCCTCCTTCCCCTTCTATCCGACGTGGAAAGCTCCGAAAAAAAAAAATAAAAAAGTTCTGGGCAACTTGAGGAACGACAGCGTGGATGACGTGTTCTGCCTAATCGGTTTATCGTTCTGGGCTCTTCGGAGAGTTCCTTTGCTTGCATCCAACGTGTGACGGAAAAGAACGAAAGAAATATACTCGAAAATACGGAAACGGCACTGAAAGAAAAAAATGCGTCGACGTAACGTACCGAAGAACCTGACCGCACGGAGAGCTTGACCGGAGACGGAACTTCATCACCGGCGTGTTTCTTTCACGGGGGGGTATGGTGGATGGTTCTCTTAGGGCTAGGTGCGCATTGGCTCGATTCCTCTCGATCGGTGCTTTACTTTTCTCTTCGCAAAGTCGGGTGGGTTTTAGCCTGGGGGACGTGTCGCGGTGGGTGCCCGTGTTCCGGTGTGTGTGTCGTCTCGAGGTAGCGAATACGCCTCTCCCCCCGTCACAACCTCGCCGGTCTTATCGTGAAAAAAGTGTGTCGCGAGTCTAACCTCTACCCCGCCAGTGATTTCGGTTTTGTGTTCGCTGCGATCGCGTTTAAAAAGTTGTGCCTCGCTCGGTGGTTTTCCGGTACGTGCAGAAAAACGTGCTTGCAGCCGGTAGGCCTAGGCCCTCCGTGAACGCGTGTGTGCATTTATTTTTTCCGCAGAAATTCCTCCGTTCACCTTTCTGCCGTTTTGGAATTGGGTGGCTGGTTAGCTCGCACGATCGTTCCCCAAGTTTTATCGCGTGGTACAGCTCCTACAGCGGTCGACGCACTAGACTGATTTATCTTTTTTTTCCCCCTTCCCCCCCCTCTGTGATTAGTCTGATAGGGTGTTCAAAGAGGAGGTATATCTGATTCCCTCCTCACCCCCCCCCCCCTTCTGTCCCCGACTGGGAGGGGGCGATTGTGACCTTTTCACCCCATGTGGAGTTCTTGGGGTGTTCGAACGGTGTCCGTGTGTCATTTTCTTGGCTCGTCGGATGTTGACGGCCCAACAGGCGTTTCTACTGCTTACACGTGCAGGTTTTATTGGTGAGCTGCCCAGGGTGTCATACGTGGCGAAATCCGTGACAGCGCTTGGAAGTGACAGGCCATCGCCCACAATTGCGTTTCCTTTTGTCCCAAGCGTGCAGCGACATTTTTTCCTTTTGCTGGACCCTTCTGTCGTTTCCCCGACTCCAGCCTCTGTCTGGTGTTGAGTGGGTGTGGCAGGTGTCTCCATTCAATCTTTTATCTCGTAACGCGATGTCGGTGAATTTATCTCCCTATTCGAATGGCCTCGATTCATCTCGTTGGAAGCGACCGTTCCACGAGTGCAATCGTTCCCCCTTCGCTCGCTGCGAAGGTGGATCGACTCTTTACCGCAGCATTTGTTTCGGCCATGGCTTGCAAACGGTTTGCTGGCACATTCACTGCGGGGCCCCTCGGACACTGCGAAAGAATGCCTTTGTTGTGGAAAGGTGCGTGCATTTGTACTCTGGTCACATACTTCAGTGCGTCTGTTTAGTTCTGCCCCCAGCCTTGGGATCTTTTCATTCACGCCTGAACGGCTGTTACGCTCCTTCCGTTTCTCACAGGAAGTGAACTTGGCAGTCTGTCTCGATGCACCTTGGCAAGTGTGCTTGTTTGTCTCTGCGCCATTGTTGAGGTTAGGAAGGATTTCATGCCCTGGATCCACGGACACCCTTAACCGCAGTAAAGAACTTGGAAATTGTGGTTGTGACCCATAACGAGTCCGAGAGAAAGTGTGCTATTGTATCTAGCTGGTACAGCCAGGCCTTTTCCAGCAGCTGGAGATCCATTGGTTTTTGTTGTGCTTGGAGCTTTCGTTCTGCCTTCATAGAAGGGCTGATTTATCTCAAACTGGTTTTTGACACTACTCAACCTGCGAAGAAAACGGAATTGGAAGGCCATTCACATTCCTGGGTATTTCCTTTTTTGTTTTTAGCATGAATTCCTCAAGTGGCTCCCACTCAGATTTTCCAAATTTCTGCTGAAAATTTTGATAGCATATTTTTTTTTTCCTTTCTGGTAGAGCCTACAGCTTTGAGAGGTCTGCAGTTTGGCCACTCGAAACTACAGTCGCATTGCATCCTGCTTGTGCGGTTCAAGGATATCAGGTTACCCTCCGAGATTTTTCCTTCCCATTAGCATACAAAAAGTTCTTACCTCCAAGCAAGGAAAGTCTATCGTTGACGCACAGTGCACTGACGTCCGCCGCCCGTCGAGTCTTCCCTGCTTTCTTCGTCCTCTATGGGAAAAACATGCTGCATTGAATTTAAAATTCCATTCTGGGGCCCTGCCCTCACGCGACCTTTTCGCGTGTTTTGACGACTGGACACAAACGGCTGCTGTTGATTTTGGGAGCGTCGACTTCGTGCAGTCGTTGAACCCTCATTCTTTTCTTTTTGGATTTGGGATGTTACCCGTGTGCAAGTATGCAGGTGTTTCGAAGTGATTGCCAGTCGTTGCAAAGCCTTTAGGGGTTTTGGGCTTTCATTCCTTGACAAAGGTTCGGCGAATTCCAGGCTAGTGGTACGGCTGTTGCGTCCATTTAATGTTCTAAAAAAAAAAACTTTTTTGTTTTAAATGTTTAGAGGGTTATTTTAGTTGTCATAAGTATGAATGCTGGTTAAGTTTTCGTTGCTCGTACATAGTTATTCTAGCTATGGAGTTAGTGCACTTTACCATTTAAACCATCTGTTTCTGTCCCCCCACCCCCCACCCCATGCTAGAACCCGTAACAATCTCAAACCGCACGCATCTGGGCACAAAACAATCTCGAGGCGCGCACATCCCCTGGGAATAAAACAATCCTGAGATGCATGCATCCTCAGGGACAAAACAATCATTAGATGCACCTGTCCTCCGGGCCCAAGTTTGGTAGGGTCGTGCCAAGCTCTGGTCTTAAGGCATCCCTGCCTGCGAGTCTGACTCCGTTGTAGCGGTGGATGCAACGTCTTTTCCACAGCACTAAGGAGTGTCTTGTTTCCTTTGCAGTACGATACAATCGGGTGTTTTGATGCGAAGTTGAGCGGATAGGCCCCCCTAGGCCCGACGTCGGAACGCAGACCAGCCAGCGTGGGGAGAAGTCTGGGTACCGCCGTGTGGAGTAGACAGCGCTGCCACGAACGGGGACGCACCAGCATGCTCAGGAAAAAGAAACTCTGACAGTTTGTGAGCGCCGCCGCTGCTGCTGCAAGCAGACGCAAGAAGCGTGTTAGCCAGGAGAGCGAGAGAGAGACACGGGAGGCGACGCAGTTTACGCGCTGCAAGCGTGACGCTCCCCATTTGTCGAGGCGAGTCTCGAGGAGTGCCAGACCCTCCTCCTACCCCCCCTCTCCTCCGTCAAAACTTTGTGAATGGACGAATTACCAAGAAGGGCGTCAGGTATGGACTTCGCCGTTCTTCTTCCTCTCTCTTGTTGTTCTGTCTCCTCCTTCGCTCCGTGTGTTCGCACCACCACCAAATCAAAGCTCAGTCCCATCAGACGTCATGGTTAGGCTCACCACCACGCGTGCCGCGGACGCCACGTCGGATCTTCCTTTCCCCCATTTTCATTCGTCGCGCCCCCAGCGGACTCTTTGGTCGCGCTCACAATCGCCGCGCGCCTTGCTTGCTTTCATCGCCGAAAATCTCTCGCGGATTCTACTTACAATAAAAGTTTGAGCGGGCCGGAACGTCTTACGAAACTGGTCACGGTTGGGTTGGTAGTCGAGGTTGGTGTTGACAACCTTAGGCACATCCAAGGAGCTTTTCATATGCCATCCGCCATCTCTCACCGCATTCTACATTCAAGTGCGGGGAACCTGTGCATGACCACTTAGCGTACCAGTTTGCGCTTAACCCAATTTTTTGGGGGGCATCCGCATAGGGTTCATTGCGCTCTGGCACACTTCATTTTCTGCATGCCATGTATGAAATGTTTGCGGTATTCTGGTGCGTTTTCAGTACCGTGTGTCTGTTACATCTGTTTTTTGTGACATTTGTTGTTTACAGTGCAATGCGGGTGTCGATGTTGATTTTGCTGTTTTTGTAGTAGGGTTTAGAAACCGGCATCGATTATTTGTAGCATTGCGGTATGGTAGAGTGCACTCGGTGCTGAAATGGGCAAATGTCTTATCTATTCGTTAGAGTACTTTTTCGATTTTGTCTTTGTAGATCTTCTAGAAATTGACATTGCCCAGATAGGTTAACCTGCCACTTGCTTTCTTGTAAAGAGGAGTCTCTAAATTCTAAAAGCGTAAACTTGAAATAAACTTGATGCAAGCCAGAGGACAGCCGACATTTCACTGAGACTCAGCTTCTAGCTCTTCATTGGTCGCAGGAAAATAGGCCGGCACCCCGAAGAACGAAACTGTTTAGCAAAACGGCAATCATCCACTCTGAGATTGCCAAGAGGTTCTTTTCAAGTTGTTGCCAGTTTCATTTCCTTTGTGCTTTGAGAAAGTAGACAAAAACTTTCATGAGCACACATATTTTTTGCATAGTTGCTCTTTTTGTTTTCTCTAAACGATTCTAAACTGTTTTGAGCAGCGCTAAGATTTGTGTTGAATGTTAGCGGAGTTTCACAGAATATGCTTCCGTTGCAAGAACGTGTTGCGTAATGCGGTTTGTAGAACCACGCGACTTCGTGCGCATCCAGAAAGTATCATCGATGATGCTGAAGCGTCGTCCAAAGTAGAATGTTTGCGCTGTAGGCGGTACGACTGAGACACCTCTCCGCCGTTCTCATTTCGTCTATGACTAGGGTTCACTGTTTTCTGGGTTCATTTTTCTCCAAATTCAGGGTGTGTTTTTTTTTTTTTTTTTCAGAGGTTTATTTTTCCCCAGAGATTCTGCGTTTTTTGGCATAAATGCTATGTGTTGGACAAGAAATCGGTGTGTATCGGGCCTTATGCTGAAGAATCAAAACAGGGGCATGGAATTGGCCACTCTCGAGAGTGCACGCTCCTGACCTAAATACTTGGAAAACTTCCCAGTACCAAGAAGACAAGGAAACAAAAGGGTTATTGTTTCTGAAGAAAGTAACCTCGTGGACAGTTCAGTGCAGCTGTGTTCAAGGCAAACAACAAATAAAATTGTAGCTCTAGATTTTTGCTCGGGAAACTTGGGTTTTTCTCAGTATAGGAAAGCTTCGATTGGGAGTTTTGTTTTCCCCAATTTTCAGGGAGGAGTCTCGGGGGTTAGTTTTCGGGGTTCATCGGTATTTACTGAAAACACGGAACCCTAAGTATGGCTATAACATGTCTTGAGAACTGTGTTCGTTTTCAAGACGCATGTTACCATAGTTTTTGGAGGTGGCGTAGACAGTTTTCCACAACTAATACAAAATGACATTGAAGCTTCCGCGAATGGTTTTTGTGCGCCCTGGGTCTGTGTCCGATGCTGTCATGAATGCTTTATATTTTACGTCTGGGTAGACCGGTGCTTTCTTCAAGCCCTGTGAACTAGCTTTTATAAAATATTTTGTTTGGCAAACATTTTTATGCCCATCACTTCGAATACTTTGAAGGAACTATAGGATAATCTTTCTCTATCATGCTTGAATTGTAGCGAAACTGGAGTATTCGGCACCTGTAACGTGCAGGTCCCTCTTGCCATGTGGTAACACATACAATTTTCATTCATTACGAGACCTAGCACCTTCCAACATTGATCATGGAAGGTGATCATTGCACACCTTCAACATTAACACAAAATGTGTTAATGTGTTATTGCATTAATTGAAGGTGGGATATTTTCCAAATAACAATGCACTACTAGTCTCCCTGGTCTAACAATGCCTTGTTGCACCAGGGAGAGTGTAGCCTCGTTGGCGACACAATGCCATGAGCAGCTCTACATGTACAACAGCATTTGAAGCAGACTCGCGATGAAAAGCACGAAAACGGGGCTTAGCAACGCAGCTTGCTTACATATTCAGTCAGTGCCGACGGCGCTTCTTTTTTGCAGTAATTAGGTTCGTAGAGATCTCGATGGGAACAAATGGCACTCCCGAGCCAAGGAGAGCACATGTGTGGATCATAATGTGCAAGTAAACTTGGCAGTGCAGCTCATGATAGTATGGAGTCGGCAAGGTTCGAACAGAGCATTGCATAGGCAGCTATGACGACCGCAACCACTCAATGTTGAACATTAAGTGGTTGCAAATTCGCACGTCGTCTTGGTTCAAGGTGGCGTACAAACTCGTTCAACGTTTGTATAATTTTTACTTTTTTTATCTCTGCAAACGATTTATTACAACAGCTGTTCACGCTTGCGAATAATTTGGGATATTTTAGTTTTGATGACTGTCGCACTGACACGTTTTGTAAACATTAATAGTGAATTATTAAAGCCACATCTTGCAGAGTTTATATATATATATATATATATATATATATATATATATATTGCATTTGAAAGTGAAAAAAAGATTTTTAACTGAGCAAAATATTTTTTTTTTTCCGTGATCTCTTTATAATAAAACGGAGAGCAATGGGAGTTTGCATTTATTCTGGAAATATTATATTGGTCGTAATTCTGGCACTTTCGTTTAAACACGCGGCCGTAGAACCGGGTTGCTTTTTTTACATATGCTCTCTAGTGGATTTCCATTTAGCAGGGGGAAAGGGGGGGGGGGGGGCAGTTTCACGAAATCCTAGTTGTAACATTCTTCATTGCTGTGTGTAGGTTAGGTTAATGTCTTCCTTTTAACCCAGTAGTGCAAACCTCTTGGGAGCTAGAGGGGGACACCTAAGATTGTTTCTGACATAGTGCCTGCTAGTCCAAGCTAGAGCCACTAAATGAGCTGCGCTTAGAGTATTCACACTCCGTTTCCCGACATTGTTGTGGGCGTCGCCATTTTGGTGCTTGTGCAGAGCAGACACAACTGCCGATTGTCATGATTCAAAAGTTTGACTTGCTCAGCATTAGATTCGTGTTAGGCAGCTCATGTAATATTGCTTTGCTTTGTCGCTAACTGTTTAAACATTTGTGGAGGATAGAAAAGCGTTTCCAGTGATTTCAGATAAAGCTTCAGATAACTGGCAACCATGATTTTAAGCCACAATATGGCCAAGTGTCAATACTGTGAAGTGTGGCTTCTTTAGTGGCACTAGTCCGACCTAGGTGGTTAGATCTTGCTGAAGCATAGGACACTGCTTATGGGCTCATCATGTATCCCGATGTCAGTGTTATCGGCCTGATAGGAGTATGGCACCGGGATAATGAAGTTAAGTCATTCAGTTCCATGCTTCCCCTTCAACACTGCATTAGAAAGTTTTTATTCTTACTACACCTTTTTCACCGCTAAGTGGACGGGGTGGTGGAAGCCACATGCTCGTTGGACCAGTCGTACGTAAAGCTTTTGCCATATTTCCGCCTGGGGTTGGGATGAACAGGAGGCGGTTAGTTGGTCCAACGTGCACGTAGCTCCAACCGCATTGCTGACATACGGTGAACGGTGTGTGGCCATGCACTACTTTGCGGTGTGCAATATGTTGCACCTTAGTGCTGGCCTTGGTTTTGCAGCTTTATCTGAGAAATGGGGCAAAGCGTGCAGAATGCCATTCACTGGCTGTAATGCATGGCATGTAGTACAGTTGCGTGTCCAGACTATCAATCTACCGTAAAATACCGAGCATTCGCCCGTTCCACAGTAAGCTCCCACTCTTCAACTTTGTAACCTTCGGAAACTACACGAAGGACATATCTTTACGTATTGTTGACTGAAGGAGAGTCGCATGTGGTTACCCCTATATTTTCAGTGGGTGCTTGCTCAGGATTTTACGGTAGTCTCATTACGACATCTCTGGTCTGCAAAGTTTGCCGCCTCAACTGGTACCGTTTACTATGACTTTCATCACCCCAATCTCTTGCATTGCCCATTGTTCATTCTGGCAAACAAATAACTAACCTCGCAACCAATGCTTTTCGGCGAGCGAGTACATCTACGATTGTCGGTGCTGCCTAAATGCAGTGGCACTGAAGTCCATGTTTCACCGGAATACCCTTGCTTCATATGTCCCATAAAAAAGATGCCCCTCGAATTGCCGTCCATGCATCGTACGAAACGCTGATTTCCCGACGACTCCCGACGCGCTCTCGTAACTTAAAGGCAGGTTTGCACATCTGTGTTCACGTTCGATCGACTGCATCACAGCCGCTTGCGACGAGGGGACACACTTTCAATCTTTATATATTTTATGTATCATTATTCTCTCGCCATTTGCACAAAATAATTCCGAGAACGTTATAGGATGCTATTCTGACGGGTCGCACAAAGATTTTCTCTCAAATACTCCAAAATCTTGGGTCTATTTGTGTACGGATCTCAAGTATTCGAGCGCTGCCCAACAGATGGCGCCAGCGTGCCAGATAACTCTTTTTCACTGTAAGCGGCCAGAAACTGTCATGTCGCAGTCTATCGCAGCCAAATGCACGCGTGAACCAGCCTTGATGCAACACAAGGAAGCGGCACTATGTGTACGGGCCTTGAGTGCCAAACCCTACAAACTATGGTCTTTTGCAGGTGAAGCAGAGGAATAGCCCCCGCACAAAGCCCTGTTTGTCATTATTGGCTGTTTCCTCCTCTCCCCTCATTCCCTCTCCAGCTTTTGCTCTGCTAAAGTGGAAAGTGTGGAGGACTATTTGGGGAGGAGTTTGACCTATGTGTCTTGCGTTGCAACATACTATAGACCTTTCTCACTGTTGTGTGTCTCTGAACGGGGTGGGGGGCTTGGTTGCTCATGCTTTTGCTCCCATGGAGTCGTTGCTTTTGCCCCCTGCAGGCAATGGCACATACCACTTCAAGATTCTGGTGCCCGCAGTGGCAGCCGGCGCCATCATCGGCAAGGGCGGGGAAACGATTGCACTACTCCAGAAAGAAGCCGGGGCCAGGGTCAAAATGTCAAAGTCAAACGACTTCTATCCCGGTGAGGACATTTGGCCTATGGGTTTTGCCTCGGGAATGCTTCTGACGCCACAACAGAAATGCCACATTTTCCTTCTTTTTTTAGTCAGTGGAATTTATGTGCAAGTTTTACCCCCCTGTTCTGGTTTGACAAAACGGTTGAAATACAAGACGCATCTTTGTACAAGTTTCACTTTTTCGTACGGTCGGCGTGGCGAAACTGCATTGATAAGCCCAGAGATCTGTGCGGTGTAACCCATTTGTAACAATAATGAGAAAACCCTAAAATTCAATTGTTATAATTGATTATTGTTGTACCTGGACTAGAAACTGAGCATTTCTAGTCTAAAAAAGTACATCATTATATGTGATATCATTGCAAGGGGATTGCACTGTGTTGGGATTGTGATATACGCACAAGGGGGAGCCGGTTTCAGTATTCATTTTGATGTGCTGGCCGTCACTTCTGTGGGAGGCCACTGCATTGCCAGGCTAGGATTATGAAGGAAGGTTGATCCACAGTACAAGAAGGCTACATCCGGTGGATCTACACTGGTCTTCGGATTGCCAGAAGAGTGGGCCAGTTCTCCTTTGTCGTAAATGTCGACATAACCTCTATCGTGCGCATTTAAGGTTCCTACATATTTTTTTTAAAAACTTGTATAAGATGCAACGTTGTATAAGACGCAATGACACAATACTAGTCCAAAAGGAACGACTTATACGCTGGAAGATAGATTAATTATTTCTCGGCGCATGTGCTGTCCCAACGTCAAGGTAAAACCGAAGCGGGAGGAATGCGAAGTGAGACTCCCAAAGTCAGTTGGGTTGTTTCACCCCTGGTGACTGCACATTTTTTAAATCAACATAATTTCTGCTTCGTAAAACTTTTCTTACGAATAAGGTGCGCCTGGAACGGCTCAAGTTTCGTCCACATGGTTGCATTTGACTACCGTAAAATAGTGCAGAAGCACCCACTTCGTTCAAGTGCCCACATTAACATTTCCCAAACTTGGGAATTGTGCAATCCATGTATGTTAAGCACCCAATTTGACCGGACAAGCACTCATGTCTCGATTAACCCAGTTTTCAGAAAAAATGGGGTGGGCACCTCCCCGGTCTTTTTTACGGTATGTGACAACGAAATAGGGCCGCGAGTCACCAAGACATCCATACTTCTTCCGTCGCGTGAAAAGTTACTTCGTGAATTAGTTGCCATGCGGGATACGCGGCATAGATAGATGTCTTGGTGACTAGCGGTCATAATTGTACGTAAAGGCTCATTGAATAGCATTTGACTATGTTGCGTTCCCATGTGGCCACGGGTCACCGGTACATTTGAACTTCATGTGTCACGTGCCAAGCTATTTGATTGGTTGCCGCGCTGCATGTAAAGCGTGGATATCCTGACGACCCACAGTTGCAACTTAACCAAAGTGTTTGCATTATGGTGAAACATAGTCAAATGCCGCTGTGTTTTGAGTTGCATGTCCTCATTGCATGTAGCCAAAAAAAAGTTCAGCCAATTCTCAATCAATAATTTCAATGTTAAAACTTTTTTTGTTTTAGCTGCCATTACTTCATATACAGTTGGATTTCTGTAGATTGTTTCTGTTCAAACCCTAGGCATGCATAAATGCCTTGTCAGAGGTCCTTCAGCTGCATCACTTCTGAAAGCTTTTCTTTGTCATTGGCTGCCAACACTAGCTTGTTTGAGGTTTTTGCACAGACAGGCTGGAGGCCTATACCATATGCCTCCAGCCTGAGTGTGCCCACTCTAGAATAGGGTTGTCTTCTACTGTGTAGCCCTGAAATGAGTTGGTGTGAAGTCAGTGTTTGGAAGGGCTTTCAGGTGTGTGATCTCTTGTTGCCAGTGGAGGCGAACATGTCTTCGCCAGCGGAAGCAAACATGTCTAAAAGTTAACCCCTTCAGCTCTGCCATAATTAATGCAACTTGTATTAACCCACTTTGGCGGCATGATGGCAACCGCCAGCATAGTCACTTGCTTCATAGACTACAGCACAATGTTCCCAACACCGATCTTCGACCGTTGCATTGGGTGCGGTATGAGCTGGCAGCTTAGCCTGACAAACCAGTGACTCATCATTTGGGATGTCTTATGTCAGAGGTGCTGTGATTGGCATTTCTCTGAAGCCACAAGTCAGTAGACCTGATGCATTCGTGTGGTTGGTCATTTGGTTGCATTGCCTGGAATGAGGGCACAGGAGCTTCCTTTTAACCTTCATTGCCCCGTATGTAGTTGGAAGAATGCAGTGTCTAGGAACACTTATGGATATTGGGAAACTCTCGACACTTCTGTTCCTCGCACTTGTGAGCCTTGCCAATCCTATCAAGAATGTCCCTTGCAGCTGTAATTTCAGTTGCTCATCAAAGATCTCGAGGTGATGTAAATTGAACTGCCTACCTTTGCTGTGGCATCCAGTGCCCCTCATTGGTTTGGAAAGTGAGCCCTCAGGCTTTCTTTTTCTAAAGAAAACCCCATCAAGCGTAATTGACAATGAAATGTTAATCCTTTTAGGAATCCTCTCGAGTAAAGGTAATTCTCTTGTGTGTATGTTTAGACAGTGGGACGTCGGCTCCAATGCATGTCCGGTGTCTCTGTTGTGGATGAGAAATTTAACCAGTGCAGTGCGACTACTAGCCAGGGGGCTTTCACGTGCATCATGTCGTGAAACATGAGGCATGACCAGATGCTGGGGGGATGCTTATCCAGAGCAGAACGGGCAGGAGTGGGTATTGAACCTAGAACCCCTGGGTTCTGCAGCGCGAGCTTTTGCGCCACAGTCTCGGAGCTACGGTGGGTTCACACGCTTGGCCACCAATCCCTCCCTTTCAAGCGATCCCTTTCAAGCTATCCTCGAGAGACACACAATGCATTCAGGAAGAGAGCAGGGTGTGGCACCAGAAGAGATAGCGTGTCTCTGTCATTGGTTGTGCATGCTCTTCCGGCTGAGGGTGTGGACCCGTCTGCTTCCAGGAACGACGGAGAGGGTCTGCCTTATCACAGGAAGCGTGGAGGGGGTCCTACGTATACACGAGTTTATCATGGAAAAAATTAAGGAGAAGCCAGACCCCACGGCGAAGATCGCCATAGACTTCGACCATAAGCAACCTGCGGAAAGAGAGAAGCAGGTGAGCTGACTTTCGTGGTCTGGGGAGTTTTGCCTGGTGTTGAAACATTTTACAAGTTCATAAGGCCCCCACTGGATTATAAAATCGTATGGTCGTGTGGCCACCAGTGTATTTTCTTTTTCTTTGCAAAGTGAGTTGGCAGTGTAAAAGTTGCAGTAACCAAAAGAGCAGCATTAATTTGATCTTATGGTGTAGCTATTAGTACATCTGTGCTTTTACGAAGGGTAGCTCGAAGAGGTCTGGTTTTATTTCTGTTTTGCTCTGGGCTGTTCCTAAATCCTTGGCAATATCAGTTTATATTAGTATGCAACCCCAAAACTCGTTTTTTTGTTGACAAAGGGCAATCAATTATAAACCTGTCTTGCTATAAAACATCTTTTAGTGCAGGTAATCTATAGTTAAATGGTCTCATAGCAGGGGACTTGTCTTGGGGTAACACAGATTTGAGTAATGTAGTATTTGGTGTGGAGAAGCCACTGTAAAAAACAACACATTGCTCAGGATAAAAAGAAAAAAAGCTTAGTTTATGGAGTTTGTACTAGTGGCCAGTTTTTTGCAACCTGGAAATTAATGACAGGATATCTCGGATTCTTCCACTGGTCCCTCGCTTGCGAACACGTAACTTGTCAGTGGCCCAAAACTCAAAAAGTTTGTGCTGGAAGCAAAGGCTTTTTTTGACTTAGCTCTTTTGTAGATCCTGCATAAAAACAGCATTGTCGGTTGCTCCGTGAATGCAAGGGTTAATGCAGGAAATCTGTGTATGTACCCATGACTGTGCCTTTGTACTCAAATGCCATATCATTGGCCGCCTCTCAGATGTGCGGTCTTAATCAGAAGGCCATGGTGTTGGTTATTTATCAAAATGTTTTATTTGTTCTCCCACAAACTAATTGGGCAGAAGTCTCGAGAGCTTGCTCACATCTACTCTGTTCTCCTTTAAGCTGAGGCTGCAGCCAGAGATAAAACCACCGAGCTAGCACGCACTCCTTGCTTTGAGACATGCCTTTCTTGCACGAGTGCTTATTCTGCAAAAGAATGCTTAAAAGCCGAGGTCTCGCTTCCTAGCATTTGTAGCATTGGCTGCAGTCCTAGTTGAAAAATGAATGGAGGCATGCATAAAAGAAAAATGCGATATCGGGCAATTTATTGAGCACTGATAAATGTGCTTGGCTAGGATGTATGGGTGCCTCCTTTCTCGCATTACTTGGCTTTCTTGAAAGTGCCGACGAGCACAAAGCAAGCGTGTTTCCGCTCGCGACACGTGGAGTAAAGCCAACCGGCCCTTTGTGACGCAGGTGAAGATCCTCGTTCCCAACAGCACGGCGGGCATGATCATTGGCAAGGGGGGCAGCTACATCAAGCAGATCAAGGAGGAGAGCGGCGCCTACGTGCAGATCTCGCAGAAGTCCAAGGACCATGCGCTGGCCGAGCGCTGCATCACGGTCATCGGGGAGCTGGAGAACAACAAGAAGGCCTGCCACATGATCCTGGCCAAGATCGTGGAGGACCCCCAGAGCGGCAGCTGCCTGCACGTCAGCTACGCCGAGGTCACGGGCCCCGTGGCCAACTTCAACCCCACAGGCTCGCCCTACGCCAACCCCTCGAGCGTCCACTCCACGGTGAACAACAGCACGGCCAGCTACAGCTCGAGCGGCAGCCTGAACAGCATGAGCCCCACAGCCAACTTCAGCAGCACCCCACACCACCAGTCCCTGGTGCCCAGCTTCCCCGGCGTAGCCCCGGCCGTCGCGGGCAACGTGGCGCAGCTCCTCGAGAACGTCAAGGCGGTGCTGCGGAGCAACGGCTACACGGAGCAGGCGACGGCAGACATCGCGGCGGCCATGGGCACGCTTGCCAGCTACGGTGTGCTCGGCTCGAGCCTGGGTGCGCTGCTCGCCGGCATGAACGGCACGCTGGTCGCCGGCGGCGGCAATCCGCCGCAGCCACTGCAGATGGGCACCAACGCGCAGCAGGCTATGTACCCGTCTTCGCCGATGGATGCGACGCCGCCGGTGGTGCCCAGCAGCTCGGGCATCTTTGGGCCCGTGGGCAGCCTCGGCGGCGGGGGCTTCGGGTCGCCCACGGGGCGCTCGGACCGCTTCCACGGGGACATGGTGTTCGACCCGTTCCGGAGAAACTCTCCCGCGCTGGCCTCGCCGGGCGCCAGCGGCAACGGCACGGGACTGCCAGTGAACAACAACTCGTTCGGCCTGGGCACGGGCCTGGGCGCCATCCCTGGCGCCGGGCCGATGCAGTGCAAGTCGCCGCCGCCCCCGGGAGGGGCCGTGGCCGAGAAGGCGGGCGACGCTGTGAAGCGCGACCTGGAGGTCGGGGAGAACATTGTGGGGGCCATCCTGGGGCCCGGCGGCAAGTCGCTGGTGGAGATCCAGCGCTTCAGCGGGGCGGCCATACAGATCTCCAAGAAGGGCATCTTTGCGCCGGGGACCCGGAACCGCATCGTGACCATCACGGGCTCGCCCAACGCCGTATCGACGGCCCAGTACCTCATCGAGCAGCAGATCGCCGAGGAGGAGGCCAAGAGGTCGCAGCAGAATGCCCTAGGGGTGTTGCGCTAGGCCTCCCTCTCCCCCGTTGTTCTGGCTTCTTGTCACCCACTCCTTCTCGAGTTGCGCCGGGGCAAAGTGGACCCCACTTCCCTGCCCCTCGCACCTTACCAAAGGTGTGGCTTTTTTTTTTTTTTTTTTCAAGTGCTGAAGAGTCTACGGTTATTTGCATTCTGAGAGAATCCCCTCCCCCTGGTTGTTTTTTTTCCCTCACATTACATCTATCTCCCCCACCTTGTGCGTTTTGAACAGTCGCTTTAGTTCGAAGCCAAGTACTGGTGTGTTTCTTGTTGTTGTTGTTTTTTTTTCCCCCCGCATAACTGTCTTCTTTTCCCCGTTGCGATGCGGTCACTTTCTGGTTTGTTGCGCATCGCCGCGGAGTCGTCCCCTCCCTCGAACCACCGGACGTGCGGGTGGTACCCCTCCTCCCCACCCCTCCCTCCCAGAGGAAAGGATGCTGTTGAAATGTGATGTTAATGTATTGTAATAATTAATATAACATAGCTATATACATATGTATATATACTACACACGTGCGGGGTGTATGTGTGTACAGGTGCGTACGTCTTGGGGAAAGAGCCGCGCGCTCGACAAGTCTGAATGAGTGTCGGGAAGGGGCGACCGTCGCCGTATTTTTTTGGGGGGGGCACGTCGGGCTGACGGCGGTCGGCCCACTGTACAAGAAGTCGGGAAGAGCGGCGGCGATAACGGGCGCAAGGGGTAGAATGGTTTCCGAGGGGTAGGGCTAAGGCTTCCCAGTTCATCTTCCCCTGGTCATAAAGTCTGCGTCGCCACATCTCTCATGGTCGTGCAACTCGCTCGGCAGAGAGGGAACCGAAGCGAAAGTTTGCCCCCCTCAGTCGTCGTCTCTCTCAATCCATCTTCCGTTCAAGTTTTCTTTTGCGTCTTCGAGAGGGGGCCAGTGCACATGCGGGTGGCGTCGGCACGCCTTACCTTTTCCACCTGCCGTCGGGTGGCGTCTCCCGTTTTGTATACCCTTCGTCTACAGAGCTTCCGTGGGTTGGTCGACGTGGTCTTGCGCGAATGAGGAACGAACGGGTCATCGTCCAACTTCTTTCGTTTGGGGGTAGTTTCGGTTCCGTCTGGCCCTTCCAGTTATACCCCAACCCCGTTCCAATCCGAATGGACGGTTTGTCGTCAGGTTTTCGTTTGCGCAAACCTCGACTTGCGTTTCGTGGGGCGCCGCCGCCGAGTCTGCTCGCGTACCTTTCTTGCCTTTTCCTCACCCGGAGCATTTCTTCTCTAAACGGCGTCGAACGAGCTTTTGATACCGAGAAACTCTGACACGGCGGCGCCTCCTTTCCACACCGCTCCCGCAAACTTCGTCTCCCTCAATCGTCGTCGCGGAACCTGCATCATTTTAGCTCTTCTCGCCAGTCTCCCTTCGGCATCTGGTCACACACACATTCTTCAGCCTCTGCCGAAACGCTTTGTGCCGCTTTAGCAAATGCCGCTGCAAGTTTATTTTCTTCCAAGTACAAGTGTTTGAGCCTATGCAATGCTCAGCCTACGGCACTGGCAAGGGATACACCGGACCCGGCGTCTTGTTCGGGACGAAAAGCCCGGTCCCAACGTCCCGATCAAGTGTTCAAGGTCCCTGCCGCAAGGCGCCGCGGCGCACACCTAACCAACGCAAAGTGAAAGAAAAAACCGTACGCTCTTAGCCATCGTTTTTCCGCATTGCTCTAGACGGATGGAAGGGTCACTTACCGTACATTTCCACTTGGCATCATATCAACCGGGCATTTCTCGTTGCGCATTATTGCGAGTATCTCTCACTTTCTCTCGGAGGTTACCCCATCACATCTGTTCTCTTGGTCGGCTGCATCCGATCGTTGCACATCGATGGGGCAGTTTTTTTTTGCCGGCCCGCGTCTCGTTTTTGGAAACAGACAGACCTTCGGTTTTTTATAGTGCCTGGAGCATCGTATGGTGCGGGTTGGGAGCCAGGGTGTAGTTTTTCGTCGCTCTGTCGGAGCCGACGTGACCCGCAACTTTTTTTTTTTTTTCTTCCCGCCCCTCCCCCCGTCGTTGCAGGTCGGAACCGATGTTATACGTTCCGTAGGCGTCGTTTCGTGGCTTGCGAACATTGTTTTGCCGCTTGTGCGTGTCTGCTCATGGCCTGGATACATCATTTTGCTGCCCGGGCGCATCAGTTCATGGCCTTGGCACGTCGGTTTACAGCCCGTGCGCACCAGTTTGCGGCCGGTGAATGTCCGTCTGCAACCTGTGAACATCAGTCCCGACACGAAGTCATTTTTGGAGGGTCTTTTCCCCTCGGGAGACGTGATTTTTGCATCTGTGGTCTTTACGGGGCGGAAGGGGTGGGACGGAGCGGTGCACTTCCCCCGGCGACATTGTTGCCAGTCGGGGGAGACAAACTCTGTAGGAAACACATTATAGCAGTCGCATCGACAACGCAGTCGCCACCACCACACCTAGGAAAGGAATGCATTACACATGGGCTCGCATGTATTCATAGTGTTATTTATTTGATGCCTTACATTTTTTTTTATGTGTGCATGATGAGATCCTGCCTCTTTTTCAATGTCATCTGAACTTCTTCGTGGCAAAGGTATTTTTTATATTTCTTTTTTCAAAACGTTTAATGCTAGAACATGCTTTTCTTTTTTTCGGAAAGGGCATGCTTACATTAAAATGTGTGTGTACAGCTGCCAATCCTTGTGCTCTTGAGTTTGCAGTGTACGGTTTGTTTTTTCTCATCTGGTTAACAAACATAAGAAAATGTAAAAAAAAAATATTTTTTTTTTTTTAAAGTGATTTATGATTAGGGGTTTGTTAAATAGAGGTAACTTTGGAATTTTTTTTTTTTTGGTCTTGGGTTACTGTAGTTGCTCCTTTTGTTTTGTGTAAATGTTCAAATTTATCTAGGTGACCATTGTTTCCTGTTGCTTTTTTAAGGTCTTTCCTACATATGTGTACATAATATAACATAATCTATACATACATATAAATATATATATGTGGAGGGCTGTTTCAGCAAACCACGAGGAGAATAAAGACGAAACAAGGTGCAACCGTTTCGTTAGGACACATTGAAACATTTTTCTCCCCCTCTAATGCATAACAAGGGTTTCCAGAGTTGTTGTTTTTGTTTGTTTTTTCTCATGCAACTTGTCATTTTCCTTTTTTTTTTGTTTTAAGGTGCACTGCTAGGAATATTCTAATTGTGACTCTGGGGTGGGAAACCGGGCACACTTTTTTGTGGCGACGTATTAAATGCCTCTAGCGAAGTCCTGTGCTTGTTGGCGGTGGTTCCTCCGCGGCGGCGGTAACACGCCGCCGCCCCCCCCGCGCTGATGTTTGTGCGGTACTTAACACGGAGAGCGGAGTGGCAAAAACCGGGAATGCCACTTTGCCCCTGCCATGAGCAACCTTATTGCAGCAGATGCATTTAGGAAGACGAGGGGGGAGGAACGGAGGGCTGCAGGCGTCGGAAACGCCCCATCCTCCCCCCACCACCACCACAGCGAAGAAGTCTCGCTTTGACACGATCCTGTGATGATACACACACACACTCACACGAGAAGAAAATGGTAGACCCAGACATTCCAGCATGCGGCAAAGACTGGATGACCAGAGGTGGTTGGGAGGCAGACTCTCGCCTCTGCTGGGTGGAAGTGAAGGAAGAACTGAAAGGACGCGAGGAAGAAGAAAAAAAAAGCGCTCGGTGCCTCCTCGGACCGGAGCATTCTAGTCTCTCGGGTAGTTCTCTTCGAGTCGTCTTCGATTACACCACAATCGCCACGCCTTGCGCCCCCTCCCCGCCCCCCCCCCCCTTTGGAGCCGTCTCGAGGGCAGTCTTCTCTTTCCTCCCACTGTCGCACAATTTCTTTTCGTCTGCCGAGTGTAGAGGCGCTACTACCGCTCGGCCGGGGAAGAGAGGACGGGAAAGGGGCAAGAAATGGACAAACAATGGGTGCTCAAGCGGTGGGTAGTTCGCTGACCCGTTCCTCTCTCGTACAAAGACAAAAAGTGGGTTTCCCTGCCGCACTGATCCTGGGGCTGTTTAGGTACGCCGAGGGAACCTCGTGCGGTCGGCGGTTTCGTTTTTATAGTTTGATGCCTTTTGCGCATGCCTTTTTTTCAAAGTTCGACGCTTCGTCGAGGTTTATTAGGGGTTTTTTAACGATCCTTCAGATTTTCGTCATCGCCGTCTCGCGACGCCACGTTTTGGGGTAGGTGGCAATTTTTTTTGTCGGCTCTGCGAATCCAAGAACTCGTTAGGTCTGTTGTCGTTTACTCTTATTATGACCCTCGGGAGTTTCGGCAGGAAGCGTTTTTGTCTTTTGCACTTCGAAAAGAAAGGAAAAAGAAAAAAATGATGCATGACCCAGAATTTTAATGTTTTTTTTTTTGCAATTGTGCTTACGAGTGCTGCAGCACGACGCCAACGTAAACGAAAAACAAAAAAAAATTGCTTACGTACCTATCAAATTGCTGGGATCCATTATTTTTTTAATTATTGTATAACTGTTGTATCACTGCTAGAACAATTAATAAAAAGAAAAAAAAAACTGGACACTGTGCAAGGTGGCTCGGAGCAACCACACCTCTTCACGTACATAAACACGCGCATACACATTCTTTCAACCGTGTGTCTGGGCATAATGTAACTCGCGTGTGCATGCATTGTTTCCTGGGATTCTTTTTTTTCTCCGTGTGCTAACATTCACACTGTTGTTGTTGTTGACACGTTTCAAAGTGTGTTTCTTCATTTCATTTTTTCTTCCCGCTCACGTGCATGTGTGGATGTGCGCAAGCGTGCTCCTGCTGTGCAGAGCCTTCCTAAGATAAAAAGAATAAAGGAGAGCGTAGCATGGGAGGACTGGCTCGAGTTGTTCGATGTGTTAGGCCACAAGTTTACTCCGGGACTTTGCCTGCAACTGTTTTGTGGAGCGGCGCGCGGCCTCGGTGGGCGAGCGTCGTGTTTGCGAGATGCATCTCTCTCTGTCTCGGTTTTCTTATTTGGTGCAAATGGACTTTTTGATAGGAGCCGTCGGCGCCGCCCCATCTCAGGGCAACAACTTCCTCTCTCCCCCCTCCCCTGCTCCGGTGGAAGTCATGCGATGCTTTTTCTTGTTATTTCGTGAATGCTGTGTTTTCATAGGTATTTCAAATAAACACTAAAATTTTGAGCATAGTTGGTTCCGTTTTTTTTTTTTTTTATTGCAAAACTTTGGGTAGGCACCAGCACGGCACCTACTCGGCAATTGGGCCCCGATGCAGAGTGACCTCTATGACCGGCGAAACGCCAATGCAGCACTTGTAGCCGGTCTGCGCCCAAACTCGCTGCGACGCAAAGTGCTGGAGCACGGGTTTTGGTTATTCTAGGTGTTATCTCCTCTGCCTGCTTGCAACAGTTTACGAGAGAACACACTGATAAAGTCTATTAGGTGATCCCGGTAAATGTCTGGTCTAATTCGACTCCCGATCTGCATGTAACTGGACTTAAGGTTTTGCAGTACTTGCGAAAGTAAATATGGGCACTGTCTACGAGAAGCGGTAACTTATTACTTTGTCAGAATTGTTTCACGGCGACAGTGAGAGAATGTATAAAAGAAAAACTTAATAAAATGGTGACAGTGTGTTCTTCCGCAAGCGACTAAAAAGGATTTCCAAGACCTAACCTTAAAAACCATTTTTTGACACGCGTGTTAAAAAAATTAATTTTATGCAAAAATTTTTTTTAGAGCAATATAAATTTTTTTTTTTTTTTAAATTGAGTGGCATCTGGTGGCTCAGATGACAGTTTAACTTTTCTCATACTAATGGTGGCAATGAACATGTAGTCTGCCGCATTTTATCAGGCACCGTCGTTTCCGCAAGTCAACAGGAAACGACAGTGTGCGCTTCACTGTACATTTCCTTCTCAATATTTTTCAGTGTCGATAGCAACAAAGATGCAACCAGTCGGACCGGAGCGTCAACCCACGTAGACAAGGGGCTTTGAAGCACCTTGATGTTACCAGCAGATTGACTGGGCCAGAGATAGAAATGAACGCTTACGCAGATCTTGCGTTCAATTCCTGCTTCACATCTTGCTAACGTCACGAATGTATTAGCCTCGAAGTATCTGCTAACGAGCATCTTCAACTTCTTCCTTCATCAGTAAACAGAAGGCCGTCATTAGTACGCCACATATGCCATTTTTCAGATAACAATAGTGATCAAAGGACTGAATTTCGGAAAGAGTCTTTTGATGGCGCAGACGCGATTTAGTTTGTAGTCACCTCCTTTCCACTTGTTTTCTCTTTCGGCATTTCGGGCGCATAGAGGAGAGGTGGACAGGCTTGGCCATCGCGTTGAGGTGGAGAGGGTTCATGACCATCCCGTTGAGGTGAAAAGAGTTAATGACCATTCCGCGACATCGTGGACTTTGCGCGCAGAATGTAAATTATATCTCGCAACAACAATATTGCTGAAAAAAAAAATTGTCTTTTTTGCGTCAAATTTATTTTTTGTGACTGCCAAGTTTTTTTGTTTTTTTTTGGGCAAATCTGGCTGTTAGGGCATAAAAGTGGCAGCTTGATGCTGAAGGCCGAGGTTCGTCAGGGACTCCCTGAGCCTGTCCCGTTTCAGACGGAGTTCTTGTTCAACGACTGCCAGCTTGGGTCGCATTTCGGTGTTGATTTTGGCAAGGCTCGAGTTTGAACTTGGCTCGAGGACCAGCTTTGGTTGCGCTGCAACGACGCCGAAATCGATCTCGCTGCACATCTCTTCGACTTGGGTCTTAAAAGTCTCGAGTCCTTCGAGCCGAGGCAGACGAGGCGTCAGAGATTCCTGAAAGGTGAGAGAATAAAAATAAAAAAGGCGATTTGTGCTCGAGACAATGCGTGGATCCAAAACCGACAACAATCTGAAGACGTCAACACAAACTTACGATCCACGTCCAGAACACCGGCTCGCCTTTCTTCCAATCCGTATAATGTGTCGTCGCTTGAAGGGCACGCTGAAGCTCGGCCTGAAACTAAATGTCGGAAACTGTGGGCTTTGCAATAGTCCTCGACACGGCACTGAATACCGTTTTAAACTTTATATAATAGAAGTTGGCTTTCTTTTTATCGTGCAGAGTTTCGATACGTTGCAGGGTGTTTCTCCCAAAACTGTTGCATCGGTGCAATTTGCGAAACCAAGTTTTGGAAAAACCCGGATAACAAAACCTTTGCATCTTCTGTCTGAACATGAGAAGAAAGAAGAGTCTTTGTGCCACTATGTGTAACGAAACTACTAAATGAAACAAAATATTTCAAAGAAGCTTGCAGTGGTGTGTGAGCACTCACTGATAAAGAGATTAGTGTTACGACCAGCAACTTGTGCAATAAATGCAGTTGTTATTGAGTATAACTGTTACCGCAGCCCACATGAGGCAAGTGAGATTATTTGTTCATTTGTGCGATAATAACCGCAAAGGTGAAGCGGTGCCATTCAGTGTCGTAGCAACCCGAAAAGGGGCCCTGGGCCCCGGGTGACAGGCGTCCCAGTCGCGTGGGGGGGGTGCCACTTGTGGCAGCACCAGGCATCCCCCCCTCACTTTACTAGTTGGTTGCGACCTCGGGGAATGAGGGGGGGCTCTAAAAGACATAAGGGTCCCGGGTGCCATATGGCCCAGCTATGCATTCAATGCACTGGTGCCATTCATTACATACGACACCAACTCACCTTTTGGCTGCCTCCCGGCGCTGCCACAAGGTGACTGATTTGAGACAATGTCAGGTGATTCATGTCTTCGGACAACGAAATTCCAGCGGTCTTCTGATGCACCTGCGCAGGTACGATTTTGTCGCCAAACCACGACGGTGGTCTCTAGAGCACTTCGAGGGAATGTGGTACCACCGACCTGATGGACCAAGGATGCGAGTTGCTGTGTAGAAGCAGACAGGCCCTTCATGGACGCGCGCAGCCGGCCAGACATGGAGGCAATTTGCTTGCACTCGTCTGCTATGCTTCCGAGTGCGTCTGCACCTTCCGCTCGCCACCTAGTCTCTTCTTTGCATCTCTGAGGAACCAGCGTGCCCTGCATTGAGCGTTGTGCAACTTGTCACAAACCTAGTGTCGAGTAAAGTATGTCTAAGTAAATGAGAGGTTATGTACTTGAAGTGAAGTAGTAAGTATACCAAATGAAATGTACAGGTGCAACGGAAAAAGAGTAGCACAAGCGACCGACGACCGGAGCGGCAAAATCACGACACGCGGCGCTATCGTTCCCGAGCGCGCCGATAGCGAGAGTGCCAGTCACGTTCCATATCTCAACGCGGGGGTGGCCGGCAGAAAGCAGCCCATCCTAAAGCCCGCACTTCGAAAGGTATCTTGTACTTTAAATTTCTGCCCCCTGCCCCCCCCCCCTCCCACGTTGAGACATGCAACGTGACTGGCACTCTCGCTATTGGCGCGCTCGGGAACGATGGCGCCGTGTGTCGCGATTTTGCCGCTCCGGTCATCGGTGACTTGTGCCACTCTTTTTCCGTTGCAGCTGTACTTGGAAGTAAAGCACAATAAACAGAATCTACTTTCAAAGTTTAACACAATCTTTCATGGTGCCCTTTCATTACACTATGCAAGATTTTGTTTTTTTAATCTATTTGGTATGTATTGTTTTAAGGGTAATCGGGGGTGTATCCATTATTTTCCTAAATGGCAGCGAATATTGGCCATAGAGTAGTTTTACTCTCGCTGACAAACTATTTAGCACAATCAACTTATAAAGCACTTATTTGTTGACAAAGAATCGGGCACCGAGAAGATCAGGCACCGAGGAGCGGCGAACGTAGAAAGGTCCCGGATGTACGCGGCAGCGCTGCGGGAGCAGGTTTGGCTTGCGGTTTGGTCGATTGGCGGTTTGGTTGTTTGGCAGTATGGCAGCGCGAAGTGGCTTCCGTTCTGAACTGATCTTTACCCCTCGTTTGCTGTTGTCTGGGGCCAATGAAGTGTCATGCCGAATTAGCGTTTAATCGCGCAGCAAATGCAATGCGAGCCGCCCTGGCTGCCTGCTCCATACAGCCTATGCAGAACATGCTTTAGTGGCGCCCTCTCGAGCCGTCGACATGGAGTGCGGCAGCCGTGTGCGCTCGCTGAGCTCACTACCCTCCGTCTAGTTCATGGCCACTCAAGCAACCAAGGACGTCATGAAGGAGGTTATTTTAAGCTTGTTTTTGTAATTTTAATTTGCGTATAGCTTTTAAAATAAAGCGAAATTCGAGAAAAGAAAAGGTTCAGTGCGCTCAGGTTCGCTGCAAATTAAAAACCAGTAAAAAAGTCCTCGCCAGGGCCCATTTAAAGTACTTCCAATGATGACTCCCTTTCTGGGGTACATGCATCGGCGGCTGTCAAAATTTCTTTCATCCACACACTTGAGTTCGTACGGTTTGTTTCAGAGTACAATAATGAATAAAAAAAATTAAAAAAAGAAAACAGGATACGCGCAGGGTATTTAATGTAGCACACCTTTTGCTTCGGGACGTCAAGAGAGGCGACCACTTCCTTTAGCAAAAGTTCGGGCAGCGAAAACTTGGCCACCAGCCAACAGAGCGCCAGCAGGGCTTCGTAATTTGACGATGGCTTGAACTCTGCAAGAATTTTGGATTGGTTATTACGATGACTCCGCTGCGTTCACAGAATAAGAGCTCACCCGAAAAATCTTCTCGACATTTCGATATGACCAGCCTCGCCGACTGGTTCACCAGCTTGCGGAGACAGTCATCCTGGAATGGTGAGTTCGCTAAGTCACTAGACTAACCGTAAATTGAGCTACAATTCTACGGAGAAAATTTAATAAAATTTACGCCGGGCTCCGGACTTTGGGACTCGAATTTGATGTCGGATGAAGCTCTTGCAAGACCGCACGTCGCCGCAAGCTCGAAAAGCGACTCTAACGCGCCGGATCCTGACATATTTTGCGTCCAGTCAACCTATAACAACGTAATTAGTCATTTGTCAAAATTTTCTATCACTCTTAGTGCCGTAAATTATAGGCTTTGAGTAAACTCCAAACGCAAATTCAGAGATCTGATGAGGGAACCACTGGAACCACCAAGAGGGGCAGTGCTGCACCCTATCGTCAAACCCGGTCTAAAAAAAAAAAAAGGGGGGGGGTTAAAATACAATTTTTATTTTATTATAAAATACGCTTAATAATAGGTTTAAAAATATATTATAATAAAAACGTTAAAATTCGCTTTCTTAAGTGGTAATTAAATTTTGGTATTTTTGAGCAGTTTCTGCGGGACTGTGGTGATTGCCAGTTCGTCCGGTCCAGCCCTTTAAAAAAAGAAGAGAAAAAAAGATGGTGTTTCCACTCGAAAGCTTGTGTGCGTGTCTGCTTGTTTTAGCGATCGTCCCGTCCTCATCCGCTTTTCCGGACCAGGGGAAGTGGTCCTTCAAAGTCGAAAATGTACGTCCAAAATTCTTTACTTTTTGAATTTTTCTTCGCGAACGACATAGTGGAAGAATCCAAAGTCCGGTGGAGCCGACGGCTCGCAAGCCGTCATCGTCACGAGATGACGACTCGCTACAAGTTGCGCGTCGAATGTCGCTGATTCTTTAGCCAATTCAGCCGATTTTCTCATCTCTTTATGTCGATCAAGACAGTATATACAAATCTTGTCAGCAGGTAAGTTGTTATACCTTCGAGGAACGGGTGGCCTACGTTGAACCCCCCATGCGTTACTGTTGCACCATCTGCGAAATCGAGCTTGTGTGGTATCGGAGCGTTTGTTTGCTCTAGTGCTCGCTCTCATGCCGAAAAAGAATCTTGTCTGCCCGCGAAGTCCGTCCCGCCAGGTGATAACCACGTGCCCTATAAGATAAACAACAACGCAAAAAATTGCACCTGGCGTTCATCCTACGTCTAAAATTGACGTAGTGCACTTGTCGGCATCTAAGTTTTTGCGGATTTTTTTTTCTCCCCATTACATATTGCGTGTCAGGGTTTCTATTAGCTCAACAGCGTCTTTATTAGACTCCCTATTTGTTATTGGCCTGCCGTATACTTTCACATGTAATAAGCGTGAAATTACGGCAAGCAGAAAAGGGGAGGGGTTTTTTACCCACTCATTCGGCATGAGAAACGTTTGCCTTCGCATTTCGCTATACAACCGTGGCCAAACGAACTCTTTTGCTGTCTATTATCCGCATAGCTGGACGAACTGAACTTGCAACTAACGTTCGCTTTCTGACATACCTGACCTGTAATCCTTGGGATGTGCAATATCATATGTCTGGCACCACTTTGGACAGTGTTTGCTGAACATCAAGTAGTCCTGCACCCCTTCAAGATATTAGGACAACCGCGTATGCAGTGCAATGTACAGTGGATGGGAGGGAACCCCCCAAAAAAGTAAAAATGTTGTAGGTTTTTAATACTGCGAGTTGGGCTAGTTGGTTCTGATGCATGGTGGTAAATACCCCAAAAAACACAGGGACAAACAAAGAAGCACACAGGACATGGGGTAACTTGCAGTTGAGCTTTACCGAAGGAAACACATTAAAAGAAGAATAAAACTGCACATGTGCAAAGATGATGAGCTTTTATTAGCCACCTGGAAAGCCTAGCTGCTCCTTGTTGGATAAGACATCAGAAGGAGCACTGATAGACACATTCGTGTCATGGGCCCTTATCATGAATGCCTCATGCATCTCGCATTCTAGTTTTGTTTTGAATTAAACTCGTTTTCTTTACCTTAAAAACGAACTACTCACTGCCGAATGCTGATTCTCGGCCCATACGTGTCGCCATGCGGTCCAGACCAGATGCCAAAGTTTCGAAACTAAAAGTTATCTTACTCAAAAGTTGCTAGTAGTTTTATGAAACTTTCAATGGCAAAGTGGGCCCCTTCCTGGTAGCTGATGCTATTCATCTCCGTGCATTCACTGAGCTTCGTAAGTTGTCACTCCCCATAGAAAATTAAAAAAAAAAAAAAAAGATCACTTATAACTTTTAATTTAGGTAACAGCAAACTCTCAAGTTTTGTTACAGTCCCCTGCAATATGGAAGACACACTGGGAACAGATGGCTGAGACAGTGACTGTGAGGGGCGCTGCGTGCCCTTCCAGTGGGTTTTTCATATTGCGAAAGACTGTACCTGGTCCGGACTGCTAGTGCTACAAATTTGGGCAGAGACTGGGCATTTGGTCACTTGTAGTTTCATTTTGCAGTGAAAATAAAATGGTCTATATTTTTTTGGGGGGTCACCCTGTATAATAAATAAGGTTTTATGGAGATGTTGGCACTGTCTGTGCTGTGTCGGCTACTGACCTCAAAGCTGTCTGCGTGCGTATACGAAAAGAGTGATGAGCGTAGTATGAACAAATTAATACCACCCACTCTAATAAAGAAAAGTGAATTCTTGTTGTCCCATTTCCCGTCTTAATTATTTATTTATTTTGTTAGCCCTCAGGGCCAAAGGCATTACAGAGGGAGGTGGGTTACATAACCAAGACACTGTAAAAAACATGGCAAAACTCATAACAAAAAAGATAATAATTAAGGCTTTTCATAGAAAAAAATAAAAAGATTAGTAACGGCAGTTTAAAAATGCTTGTTGCCAGGAATTTTGGCGATGGCCCGGGGAAGGTGATTCCACATGGATGAAGCATTGGGAATGAAAGACTCGTAAAAATGACTTGTGTGACAGAACGGGGTGCCAACTTTATGACAATGATTGATGCATGCTGAAAAGTAAGGTGGTGTTATGATGATAATGCAATTAAATGCAAAGGTGCAAGCGGGCTGGACAAGAATGATGAAAATAATCCCTGGAGAAGGGGAACAAGAGGGACAAAGGACAAACACAAATCTCCAAACACAGCTAGGTGACTGGTGCGCGACCAAAAAAATCCACCTGGTCCGGGTTTCGAACCCGGGACCTCTTCATTACAGGTGGAGCACTCTACCAACTGAACTAACGGGGGTTAGACACCAGTAGAGCCCCCGTTAACTCAGTTAACCCCCGTTAGCTCAGTTGGTAGAGTGCTCCACCTGTAATGGAGAGGTCCCAAGTTCGAAATCCGGACCAGGTGGATTTTTTCGATCGCGCACCAGTTACCTAGCTGTGTTTGAAGATTTGTGTTTGTTCTTTGTCCCTCTTGTTCCCCTTCTCCAGGGATTCTTTACATCAAGGTGTTAGCAGTCTTTCATTGAGAATCAAATTAGTTTAATTCTTGTCGTCTGCATTTTTCTCTTTTTGTTCAGGTACCGAAGCACCTCTTCGCGGTTCAGAAGAGCCTGTACCGAGCATCCACTGTATCCATCAAAAGTGAGTGTTGCCTTGCAGAACTCACCGCTAGGGAGGAGCGGGAGGCATGTTTGACACCCTGCCCTCTCTCTCTTCCTAACAGTCACCTGCGACCCGAGCAATCCCGCCAGCGCCAACATGAACGTTTTGGTCGGCTGGACGCTGCTCAAGTCCCCCTGCTTCCAGGAGTTCCTCGACATTGAGACGCTGGTAAGTGCACGTCTCGAGCTGTCACTTTTAAAGGACAACGATTTCAATCAAATTTTATGGTATACTTCGGGCCTTTTCTTGCGCCGTCCGTAATGACCTATTTGCACGACAAATCTTCATCTCTGGAGAAAACCGAATATGTCGTACAGCTGTGAGACAGAAAAGCCATGAGAAGGAAAAGGAGGTTAAAAAAATCAGAGTGAGCATTCAGGACACAAAATGTGTCCCAGTTCATTCTGGTTTCGGACAAAAAAAAAAAGAGGGGGGGGGGAAAAAAGAAAATATAGGCACCCCCCAGCTCAGTGCTCCTGATCGTAATCCTTCCTTGAAAGGAGGGTATTCGATTGCTTTGACGAAACAGTGAATATTCTGCAAGACGGTCACAGTTTGTTGGCAAAAGCACCCCACGGGTTTGGGGAATTGGTGAACACCAGTGACGCACCTCACGCGGCCTCAAAACTCAATGACATTTAAACCCCTCTATGGAAAAAACCCTGTCGTGCAAATATACCATTGAAGAAGTCTTACTCTTATTCGTGCGACGATGCTGGCAAGGTGGGGGTATGGACGCCCCCAGTATCTGTTGAAACTGTTTTGAGTGCACTGCACAAACATTTGACCAGGCGGTGAAGGAGTCAAATGATTACGACGCACTGCCGTTCATGCAGACGCAAGACACCCTGTCCAAGTTGTACACCGGTCTGAAGATCTTCGACTATGGGGACGTGTATTACAAGTCTTCCGAAGAGCTCCACCCCTGCTTCCACGTGTTGGACCTGTCGGTGAGTGCATAGAACTGCTGTTTGTCTAATATGGGGACGTCGTAGATCCTGTCGTGCCCCAGCTGAGCTTGGTTTTCTTCTTTTTTTCCCCCCTTTTTGTTTAGCCTCACAGCTTGATCAAGCAGATGACCAACACGACAACAGCAACGAAATCTAAACCGGTTAGTTTCTCTACTTGCTCTTGCGTAGTTCAAAGTTCCTTTTGCAAACTGTTGATGAATTGCTGTATTTCTGCAGTGTTTTTGTTGAAAAACTCGTTCGAGAAAATAGTCTTGGGAGGCAAAAGTTGGAGGTTATGTCGGTGAGAGGTTAGGAGTTCAGGGAAGCTCCTCCTACCGCTTTCCATTTTAGCACAGTGTACGCTGGAGAGGAGGTCACTTCCTCTTCAGCATTCGCTTTGCTAAAGTGGAAAGGGGTGTGCAGAGCTTTCACTTTTCTCTTAACCTGTCACCGACTGAAGTCGCTAAACCTGCACGCAGTAGCTTTATTGGCTACCAGTAGGTTTTCGGCTGGAGGTAGCTTTTTTGGCTAGCGGTAGCATTTTGGCTAGCGGGATCTTTTCGACTAGTGGTGGTGTAGGCAAGGTTAGAGGCTAGTCGCCGAGTCGGCTAGCCATAGCGGTAGCTTTTGTCTTCATCGCTCCAACCCAAGCCAAGTGGGCATTCCATTAGATTTTTTAAATGAGAAAGCCTCTAATGGGAGAATCTATTGCTAGTTTGCAAAACCAACGAAGGCTCTGTGGCATGGTACAGTGGACTTTTCACAGAAAGTGAATTAGCTTTAAAACATCCAACTATTGACTCTCCTCCAGTTCACTAGGGCATCCACTTTGGACTCCGAGCTTCAATCATACCCATCTCCAGCCAGTCTTAGTACAGCAGTGCAAAATCCCCACCTCAAGTATGCATTGTATCTCATACTCTGTGGTAGAAGTGGGGCTACAACCCATTGCAAAGGGCATGACTGTAATCGTCCATCTAATGTTTTTCCTACATCACATTATGCTACTGCACCAGTGACATTCTGAGGGTTCTTCTCGGTATCTATGGTACCATTTGGGCCAAACACATTTTTCCTTGCAGCTAAAAGAGGTGCCCAGGGAGAAAAGGGCAGCCCTGGATGCCAAGAGTGTCGTTGCGACGAAGTCAACGACAAAGACGCCAGGTCAGAGGACAGCCGATCGAAACATCTTTGGGCTTGCCAACTTCTTCACACTTGCCAGCTCTTTCACGAATTGGGTTGCAGTACCATTGCCGTTAGTGCTACACGGGGCTGCAAGCCCGGCGTCTCGGTTGGTGCCCCGACCGGTGGCCCGGGCAGCTTGTGGGTGAAGCTAGCTTGCGGTTTCATACACTTGTTTAAACAAGCAGAGACACGGCGGTGGCCATGGGCCCCGCCTACAGTTGTTTTGTATTGTGGTGACTCTTTGAGGTGCGAGAACGTTTTTGTAAGGGCTACGGAAGAAGGGGGTAGGCATAGAATTTGGAAAGGACTCTGGCCTGCTGGGACCATTCTGGACAACCTCTCCATGGGAGAGTACATCTTTCCTTGTCAGTTCTGCCAACCGATACAACCAAATGAGTCGCACGCCGTTTTCTTGCCGACTGGGGCGATCTCGTAGCGATTGCTCGAACTTGTACGCACGATGTGACTCTGTTGCGTCAGTGTTGAGGAATGAAATGGGTAAACAGTGTGCTTGTGTGAGCGTGCAAAATCTTGTTTATTTTTTTGTCTTAGATCGAGCCCCGGAGAATGTGACCGACGTCTTGGATCCCGAAAACCTTAAGGTAAATTAAATACATCCATAACTTGCGTGACTTCTTTTTTCGTCTTGTTGCCGTTTAAAAAAAAAAGTATTACCTACCAAGTAACTTCGTAACTTATGTGTACCTTTTGACGATGCAGCTTTTAAAAGATAAATTGGTTTCCCTGCATGGGAATTATTTTGAACTGTTTATATTTCCTAAGCTTTTTATGCAATCATGCTGCATACATCTGAGTATTGCAAGTCTGCTCTACCTCTTGCTTTAGTTATCTTTTATATTTTGAGCACCACAGTGCAAATAAATGCGATCGGCAATTACTCGGACGAACATACGGCGTATTAAGAAATTAAGCAAACTCTTACATCTGAAATTTTTATATTATCTTGGGGGACCAAGAGAAGGAGAAATAAGTCTTTGTATCACCTTTAAGATATGACACTTGAGCAGAAGTGTATCTGCGGTTTAAAATCATTGCTAAAAACAATTGTGTCGCTCATTTAAGCGTCACATTTCTTTTTTCGTGGCTTCCACCCATCTTTCTTTACCCCTCAGTGCTCCAAAGTTGTTTTAGGAAAATAGCCTACGTAGTCTAGGTAAAACCGTATCACTTGTTTTCAAACGTTTTATGTATGTCCTAATAGACCGATCTCACCAGCCAGTTTGACTACGCCACCGCTGCCGCAATGCATCCAGGGAACTCTAGTCTTTCTACACGTGTGACAACCTTGCTGGAGCTCTGCGCGTGTGGAGCACGAGACAGCATGTGCCCTCTAGTGCACTGCTGTTCGCCTCCTGTGAACTAAAGTTATGGCCGCGTCACGCATGCACCGAACGCTTGGTGAGATCGGTCTATTCACTCATGAGATTAGTGTTTTAAGGGGATTCTGCACCTTATGGCATAAAGACCCTCCGAAGTTTGGTCGGGCCACTTCGATTGCTATCATTATGTCTGGTTTTGTCTTGAATCGTGCTGCGCACAAATACTACGATCGGGGTACGCGGGCCACGGGATCTGAGTGCGCACACACACTCGAGCGTTGCGAGAGCCAGCCGGTCACCGATTGCCGGACCAGAATAAACCTCAAGTATTTGGCGGCCTTATCAATGTGTACCCGAATACAGTGGTGTCAGAACAGGGGAGTAGGGGGAGCGACCGCCCCCCAGACAGGTCAGAAATTGAATGGAAGCAATGCGGGGGAGGGGGCGCAAAATCGCCGTCGCCTCCCCCCACCACGACCACCCGTTACCCCCCCATCTCCTGAATAGTTTTGACGTCTATGCTTGAATACAACTGCTATCATCATCCGAGCATGTGGCGTCTGCGCCGTGCAATGGCACTGCTCCAGTGGCTGACAAAGGAAGAAGTTTTAAGATGTGCACCAAAACGAATATTGTAAAGCCGGGGCATTCTAGACGTTAGCTTAATACAATGCAGGCGTTCGTTTTGGACTCTTATCCAATTGAACGGTCGACTCAATATCGACTCTCGAACCCCTTGAGGTGGCGACTTTTGTCGACACTCGAATCAGCGCTTCGTACAGAGGAGTAATCTCTTAGTCACTGTCGAAACTAAAATGAATCGAGAATTGATGTAGAATCGTACAAAAGCTGTAGGGCCCGTTGAAATGCAACATTTTCACCGCCATTGGCAAGTTAAAGTCAAATATCTGAACCACTAGGTAACGTCGAATTTTAGAAATGGTCTGTTGATGCGGGGGTCAGAGCGCAGGAATTTTGGTCCAGCATTTCCTTTCCCGTCGAAGCTCGACATTTTTGCCACCGTCAGCGCAAAAAAGTCTAACCAACATCCGATCTGGACGGCAGTGAAATTTTGGGAAGAGTTCGTCGAAGCGAGGAACAAAGTGCACAAATTTTGTTTCTGTATTTCGGTGTGGCGTCATCACCTGCTGCACTCTTTGTTTCCCCCCAGAAAATCTTGGCCTCAGATCCAAGGCCCCTAGCCATCCTTGACAAGGATGGCATCTACATGCTCATCGTGTCCATCTCGTCCGAAGACGAGAAGAACTTCACGGTGCAAGGTTGGTGATGCCACTCGGCTTTCAATATCCCACGTTCGCCGACAGCAGACACGGAGCGCGACTTAATGCGTTTGTGTTTCTGGCTTCGCAATTGATTCTTCGGCATTCTTGTTGGCCAGTGCTTTGATCTCGTTGGCTACGTAATGACCATAAGATCCCCCCGGATTCACCGCACCCCACATTTCTTAGCTTGTGTTGTCAAAGGCTAGTGCGGCTTTCAGTCGTCACTCTCAATATTCTTGTTAATTGTGTTTGTCGGCAGTACGTAAAATTTTTCTGCTATACACTGTGTGTTCCGGTCTGTAGTTTGCACCCGTTGTATAGTCCACAGGGTCAGAACTCGGCCGAAGAAAAAAGATCTTCCTTGGATAGGACACGTAGCCAGCACATGAAAAATTCTCGTACGCAACATACCTTGATAAGTGTCCTTTTTATGAGTGCGCAAAGAAGCTCATATTCATGAATTAATCATCAATAATCTAATCTGTCATTAACAAGATGTCACGTCTCACTATAGTAATGAATTGCCTAGAAAAAGTGCTACCTTGTATAGTCCGCAGCCGTAGATAGTCCACACCTTGCGAAATTTCAACTTTTAAACGTGTGTAGTCCGCGGACTGTAGTCTGGAAATTGTGGTAGCCGTCGCCACCATTGAATTTTTATTTACTTTTAGTGGACATGTCTCTGAAGGGGACGTATGGCTACCTGTCAGCTGTGGATTGGCCGTTCCTTCCGGTGAGTTGTGTGAACACTTTTTTTGTTTGTTTTCTTTTTAAGTTTCTCACTAAGAAAGCCTGGGCTGTATCGACTCTCCATTGAAGAAATAATGTAATCAGCAACGCTGTTTTTTTTTTTTCCCTAGGACAGGCACGGCGATTGGTCAGTCTCGCCAGCGAGATTGACCAATCACCAAAATGAAAAGATTTCACTGCAATTTTTTAATAAAAAAAATTGCAGAGAAGAAAGTTCCCCATGAAACAAACCCTCGAATGTGGTTTTCAGAAAGAACAGATACCGAAAACAAATTTCTTGAAACCGGTGCCTTTATAGTGGACATTTTGCTAAAGCGCAAAGTAGAAATTTCGAAATGACGAATGGTACATTTTTGCGGCCTGACCGGTGGGAACCAAAGTTCAAAATATACGCCCATGCTCAGCGTCAAAGTTTTTGTGCTACCTTGCAAAGGCTAGCGCAGCCTCTGCAGTGCTCCAACCATGGGCGTACCAACCGGGGGGGCAAGGGGGGCACTTGCCCCCCCAGTTCTCAGAGTGGGGGGGCAAGGCATGCGTTTTGTCCCCCCTGAAACGGCTGCCACTGGGCAGAGCAGACACAGGCCGGCGGCGCCCAAGGAATACCAAGGGCACTGCCCCCCGACCCGCGCGGGCATATTTTTAACGCGCAGGCGATACAAACCCTAGCAACGGTGCTCACGCACGCTGGATTGGCTGGTTTGTGGAGCCTTGCCCCACGAACAAGGCTACACGGTAACCTAACGGAATCCATCCGCGAGACATGGGCTGGACGGGCCGTCCAGACCAGGACGTAGGCCCTTACACAAAATAAAGTTTTGCTTGCTTGCTTGGAGATACTCGCTGCCGCCGTCAACATAGGCAGCGGATGCAATGCGAGTTTCCGAAGAGGTAGCGTAACTTAGTGGTGAGATGTCTGCCTCATACGTGTCAGACCCGGGTTCTATTTATGGTGTGGGCCGGCTTACTTCTTTTTATTTTTTTTCTCGAACATTTTGTTTTGTCGAGGCATTTGGCGATATTTACATTTCTTTTTTACCATTAACACTAAAAAAACGAATGTTGTTGACGAAACATCGCTAAACTAAATCGTATCGACTCTATTTACGGAAGTGCATGGGGGGCAGCGGGGCTTGGGTTGCCGACCGGACGCCGCAAAGCGGCGTGTACGGGGAGTGTGGGGGCTAGGTGGGTTAATAGATTTGTAATTAGCAGCCGCACACCGTCACCGCGAAGCGGCGTGAACGCAGGCGCGGGGGTGGGTTAACGCGCTTCGAGTGATACACGAGCAGCCCATCCGGCTTGAGCGTCGTTGTTAGGGGTTCTATCGCCTGCACCGTAAAAGGAGCAGTGTGTGCACCTCCTGTAGTGGGCAAGAATTCCTACATTGGAGAGAAGCGGGGACAAGCCCTTTCTTCAAATCCGTCAAGTCTCCTTGAGCTTCGGAATACAAAGAAACGCCACTATTCGGAGCTAATCCCACAGTTAAGCGCGAGACACATGCGCGAAAAATCCATCCGATCCGACAACCGATCCGGCAATGCGACTGCCTGATCCGAAAAATTTGGTCGCTTCAGACGCCGGATCGGCGATCCGACGTGCGTCCAACGCGCCAGATAGTTTCGCACGGCGGACGGATTGTCGGATGCGTCCAGCCAATGACAGCACAGCTAGCGCGAACGTCATGATGACGCACTGAGTCTGGCGGGACGAAGCGAATGGCGAGGGGAAGCCGGAAGCCTGGATCTCGCTGACCCATTCGAGAAATATGGCTTCGGCAAAGAATGCACGCGCTAACGAGAACGAGCTTCTAACTTCGCTCGTGTGAGCGAAACCGTCAATCTAGGACCAGAGATCTGTGAACGCCAACCTCCGCTGGAGTGCTTGGATCTCCTGGGCGGAGCCGAACGGATAGTCGTGTCGCATGCGAGTTCGGAAGCGTGTGTCTCAAACTGTCGCGTGCGGCGATTCGGAGCGGCGTTCGTACTGTCGGATCGGACGATTCTGCCGTCCATGTGTCTCGCGCTTTACTCGACCTCTCTTGCGTCGTGTCTGTTCGCTCCCCGCGCCTCGTAGCAGTGTTGTTGCAGTGGGGGGGCTCGTTAAAATTTTGGGGTTTTTTGGACTATCTAAATCACTTTCTTCCTTCCCATCCCCCCCTTTTCTACTCCGCATGCTTCCCCCTCTGCAAATATCAGCTGACCTTCCGACCTCTGTTCTCTGTTGATAGGCAAAACAACCACTAAAATTAGAAAGTAATTTGTAATTTGAGTGGAAGTCACTCGGAAAAGTAGTTAAAGTAAACTACGAATTACTAGAATATAAATGTAATTAAAAGTTACTAAACTACCCAGAAAAGTAGTTAAACTACAGTAACTTGAGTAAAGTAGTTGAACTACGTACAAGTCTGGCCCGGCAGGCGCTCTGCGTAAGGGTTTTCACCTAACTGCCTTTGAGCTTTATGTGTAATCAATCTGTGTAATCTATGGGTTAGTTTATTCTCGTGTGATATAGCCCCGCACACCATCACATGGGCCAAGAAAGGTGTAGTTTTACTGCAGAGGAGAAATCAGCAGGGTCCAAGATGGTGACAATGGAGGATGGGGGTCTGTTCCAGTGGCTGATGGCTTGAGAAAGGAATGACCAATTGAAAGCGTTAGTAGAGTCAGAAATGTGCTTGATGGTGCAGACGTTGTTGAGGCGAGAAGATGTTCGGTCGGGGGGTAATAACAAAGTGGTTTTGAGGTCGGGAATGTGGTAGTAGATTTTGTGAATAAAGCACAGCTGAGAGACTTTTCTGCGAAGCTGCAAAGAGGACATGGTTAGTTCAGTTTTTTAGCGCTGAGACACTGAAAAAAAAAGTCATAAGTGGATGAAATGAAGCAAGCAGCTCTGTTCTGAACTGCCTCTACAGGGTATTGATGAGGTACAGTCGATGGGTATTCCAGATGGTTGAAGCATATTCTATTTTTGGTCTGACGTACGTGTCCAAGGTTAGCTTACGAACAAAGGGTGGAGCCCTTTTTAAGTTACGTCTGCTTAGTCCAAGAGTTCCAGATGAATCGGCAGTAATGACTTCAATGTGGTTATTTTAGGGAAGGTCAGATGTTAGTCTTACACCAAGGTATTTATACACAGTAGCGGTCTCAATCAGATCGGAGTACAAGAAGTAATTAAATGACAGTGTTTGTTTTTTTTCTTGGTGAAGTGGATTAGTTTGCATTTATACTTGTTTAATGACATAATCCACTCTTTGCACCAATTGTTAATTTTCTCTAGATCTTCCTGAAGCTGGTTATTATTTTGCACACAAGTTACTTTGTTATGGATGACGCAGTCGTCGGCGAAAAAGCGGTTTTTTGAAGAAATCCCAATGGGGATGTCATTAATAAATATTAAAAAGAGTAAGGGCCCAAGTACGAACCCCAGGGGAACACCAGGAGATACATTTATTAAGAAAGATTCATGATCATCATGGACGTGACCTGTACACGGGAAAAAAGAAAGTCACGAATCTATGCAAACGGTTATTTGGTCGAGGCAAAAAGATGATAGCTTAGAAAGAAGGCGTTGATAAAAAACACGGCCGAACGCTTTGGAAAAAAAAAAAAAAAACTGCGTCAGTTTTTTCATTTTAAGGTTCAAGGTTCAAGGTTAGTGTGCAAGTCATGGATGAAGTCGCAGAGTTGTGTTTCGCAGGAAAGTACAGTCTCCGGCGATATGAAAGACCCACTGGGAGCGCGTGGCCGAGGCGGTGGCCGGTGAGGGCGCTGCGAGCGCTCCGGGCAGTTCCATTCTGCTTCGAGGGGAGGACGCTCATTCGGCACTCGGCACAAACTGATAAGCGCGTTTCGCTTTATCTGAGCCCGAGTGAGCGTCCTCCCCTCGAAGCAGAATGGAATTGCCGGGAGGGCTCGCAGCGCCCCCGCCAGCCACCGCCTCGGCCACGCGCTCCCAGTGGGTCTTTTATATTGCCGGAGAGTGTACCTTTTTGAAAACCGTGCTGCTGTTTAAAGAAAAGAAATGGGATGATAGGTGCCTCATGATATTGGAGTAGAGGATATGCTCAAGTAGTTTGCAAGAAATTGAAGTCAATGAATTAGGGCGATAATTAGATGCGGAAGAGCGGCTGCCCTGTTTAAAGACTGGGAATTACCCTTCCCACCTTTTGGTCAGATGGAAGGCACCTTTGAGATAAGGACTGAATAAAGATAAGTTTTAAATACTTACTCGAAATAACACTGGTGTTTCTTTTAAATTTTAGAGTTGATGTTATCGGTTCCAGCGGACGAAGTAAGTTTTAGTTTATCAATCAATGTTATAATACCGGCGGAGTTAACGTTAATAGGATGCATGCGCTCGTAAAGCTCTTCAGGGAGAGTGGGGTTGGAGTCCAAGCACTCGTTAGTAAACACTGATGAAAAATATTCGTTAAACACAGAACTATCATGGTCGACGTTGCACATCCGACCATTCCTAACTCTCCCCATCTTCCTAAACGTCCGTGTGTGTCCGAACGCCAGAAACCGGAATTTTAAAGGTTAAAAATGGCACGTTGCGAATATGGAACGCGCACTTTCATGCAAAGCTGACGTCAAGTGACTCAAATCGAAAAACATGCATATTTACAATATTGTTATCTCTTCTGGTGAAGGCTCAGCAACCGTTGCATCCGTTTTCGCGCACGAAACGGCGACTACCAGAGAAAGTAAGAACGCGGTGATTGCCTTTATTTTAACAATGTAAACACACTTGCAGGCGTGCGCTGATGAAGCCTCAAAATCAAAGCTCTCGTAGTGTGATTCGTGACTGTGCCGGCTACTACCCAACCTCGTTGTCACGCCACTTTCTGGAAGCATACACCAAAATTACAAGTAAACACACAAAAGCGACATCGATACAATTATCTTCTAGAATATCACCTTATTTAGTCATAACTCTTTCAATAGGCACTACAAGTTGTATTTATTTTAAGAAGAAGCAAAATTTTTTTTCGTGAGAAAAAACAAAATATCAATGTTAAGTCTGGTAACGTTGTAATTTTGCCGAATCATTGCCAAATCTTTAGAAAAGTTGGACAAAAGTTGCGCCGAATTTTCGATTTGGGGGGGGGGAGAGGGTCTGGTTTGCCCCCCCACTCAAAAACAAGTTGGTACGCCACTGGCTCCAACGCTGTCAAAGTTACTTGCGAGAATGCGTGCAAATGAGACGCGAGACTAAACCTAAACCACATGCTTTCACTACATTGCGGACTTTCAGCACGGCAGCAGCTGTACACTAACCTTGACAACGTAGCGCAAAAAAATTGGTGCCAAGCTTGGCAATTTATTGGTTTCGAAGACGGCATGCGTGCCCATCTGAAATGTGATCTGCCGTTTTCCTCATTTACGTTTTTGTTGTTTCAGTGTTATGTTTCACGTCGTCTTTGCATATTGTAACCGCTTGGAATGTACGGAGGGCAGCAAACACACACACAAAAAGAAATAATAATAAAAATAAAATTGTGTTTGGGTAGTTGGAAGAAACCGGCCAATGACAGTTTGTTTTAGATACAGACCGGCAACCTGCCTTTTATTGAAAAAACCGACCATGCCGGTCAAAAACCAAGGAGGTGGCAACCCTATTTTGAACTGCTCTCTACCAACCAGATAATCTTCAAGCCAGACCAGAATTTGATCATTGTTAAGAAAGAATATACTTGAGTTTAGGAGGTAGCTCTGGATGGAGGAACAGAATCAAGTGCCTTGGCAAAATCCAAGAACACCACATTTATTTGTCCGCCCTTCTCGAGGCATGAACTTAAGTCGTGGGTTACTTCTATTAGTTGTTTGATTGTTGAGCGACCTCACTTAAAACCATACTGATCATTTTCTCGAAGGCTATTTTCCTCAACAGAAGTTATAAAATGTGTTTAGCGATTATGTGTTCTAGGCATTTTACAACTGGTACCTGTCAGAGAGATTGGACGATGTTTTGTATATTTGTTTTTTTTCCCCGACTTTGCTATTGAAACTATTTTTCCTGACTTCCAGTCATGTGGAAGGCTGCCACAAGATAGTGATCTTTTTATATATAGCGGCTAAGTAAGGAGAGCAGCACTCTACATATTTTTTAAAGAATATGTAAGGGACTCCATCGGTGCCAGGTGATTTTTTAACGTCTAACTTTAGAAGCAAATCAGAATATCATCAATACCTGCGATCGGTGATGTGTGCATTTTATAATGTGGAATTATCACGTGTAAAAACATACTGGAAGTGATTATACCTTTAAGGTCTTTTGCTGTAGAAATGCTGGTGGACCAGAGGCCTTTGTTGTGTAGATTACATTTACAGTTTACTTCGTGATTTCAAATCTTCCACTTTCGGCGAACAGTAAGGTCAAAAAGTATTTTTTTGACGTTAAAAGCTTTTTTAATGAACATAAATAGCGCAAAGGACAGATGAGCACGAAGACGAGACTAGCGCAATTTCGTGCTCATTATGCTTAACCAGCTAGCCCATTTTCCTTCTGCCACTTTGGTGGAGCTTGCCGGTTTTTTAGGCTTTTGTGGCCGAAGCTCTTCATGTTTTCGTGGATGAAAACCCTTTCAGTTCTACGGCGTGATGTGCGGGGTGTACGTGCTGTACGCCGTCGGCTGGCTGCTCGTCTCGGCGCTGCAGTGGCGAGACCTGCTCCGCATCCAGTTTTGGATCGGCGGTGTCATTTCCCTCGGCAAGTTTGACATTCCCTCTGTTTGTTGTTCATCACCAACTTCTCACAGCGACAGCTGTTATGGGCCCTCCCCACCACTGGAAAAGACATCCGTTGTAGTTGTTGTAGGGCGTAGAGTGTCCGTCATTGACGTTGCCAAACCCTCTAAAAAGATTGCCCACTGTCCGCAGGATTCAGCCCTGGGTCCGCTGCGTGCGGAGCAGATGCGCGACCAATGGGCTATGCCGCGACTCTGACTAGGCTGCCTCAATGTCCTTCCGTCTAGAATGGTGCCGTTTTTTGTGGTACCCGACACCGACTGCACGCACTCTGTGGAAAAATACAAATAAATAGCCGATAACATTGTGCCGCCGTAGCACTGTCAATGCCAAGAGCTCGCGCCGGGAGACGCGCTTTCGCACACTCCGGAAAAAAAAAAAAAAAAGAAACGAAAGTGTTTGGAACAAAATGGTTAGGTCTCCGTTTTGTTCAGGCACCCCACGATGTGTGATTGTGACGCCGATGCCCAACGACTTCCCTGTGACGTGTCGCGGCGACCGAACTGTAGGTTAGCACGGGGCTGGCCATTTTTTTTTTTACGGTGAGAGCCGTTATTGGTGAGGTTTTGTGGCAGATCCCAGGGGGGCATTTGTATCCATCGTGGCAAGCTAAATTTAGCGGAAAGATTTCTCCGGAGAATTCAGCAGAGAATCACGGTGTCGCGTAACACTGTGACGTCGCAGTGTTGCGTGACGCCGTGGTTACGCGACATTGCAATTTCGCAGCTGAATTTAGTTCGAAAATTTCTTCACCAAATTTAGTGGGAGTTTAACGCCAACTGATGTCAGCGTCGCGTGACCACATCGCATGACTCCCAAATGTCAGGAGACGTCAGTCTCGTGCGACTTTACGTTTTCCTCACTAAATTTAGCGAGAAAGCTTCTCTGCTGGATTTAGCGGAAATTTAGTGTCTTGTAACGTAATGGTGTCATGCGAGTTTGTCATGGGACGTCATCCTGTCGGGTGGCCTCACGTCGACGCAGGAAGTCGCACCATCCACTAAATTTAGCAAGACGCGGGTCCCCTGAATTTAATCGCGGCAGGGTTGCCGTGAGCAACGAAGTGTGCGGTGCCTCTACCACAGTCGCTGTTCATGTGCAGTATGTGGCATGGAACTACAAGTCTTCCTTTAGAACGAGTAATTGATTGATGCTAGCAATAGTTTTCATGCTTTGATATTGCCTGTGGATCTCAGCCGCCTGCTTGTCTCTCTCGTTCAGGCATGCTGGAAAAAGCGGTCTACTATGCGGAGTACCAGTCAATCAACTACACGGGATATTCGGGTGGGTACCACGTGTTGTTTCGTTGCCTCTGCTCACTTAAGGAAGTGTGGCGGCTTTCCGGCAACTTGAGGGTTTCTCATCATTACAACTAGCAGATGCTTGCTTGGGTCCCAATAACCTGGCTGTTCTGAGCATCTGCCGGTGTGTTGCCTGTTTAGTTGCAGTTACTGGTGAATTGGCGTCCAGGCAACTTCTTCATTCAAAATGATATCAGTGAGTTTCTAAGGCTATGCCATGCTTCTCAGCAAGATGTTGCCACTGTTCCAGAATTGTTGAATTTGAAAGCAGGTTGAGAAAACTTGGGGGACGCTTAAGCTTCGTATGGCGAAGCTTAAGCGTCCCCCAAGTGGAACGTGTGAAAAACGGTTGGTTGCGATAGCCTTATCGGGCCCCGCTTGCAAAGCCTTCTTATTAAACCCGTGCTCGTTCCTAAGCCATGCAAGTGTGTGTGCGTGGTCTAGCCAATAGCATCACGTGACATCACGTGTTTTCGTTGGAATTTTCCCTCCTAATCTGGCGGGAAAATTTTTTCAATAAATTTGGCAAGAAAATGTTTAGCTAAATTTAGCAGGAAGATTTTCCGCCAAATTTAGCGGGTCGACAGGGTCATGCAGTCACAGCCATGTGTGACATCACACGTGGCTGCACGTGTTGCATTATGGGGATTTTTTGGTGTTACCGACGCTGACCCCAGATTTTTTGCAACATGAGCTCCTAATTGCTGCCGCGTTAAAATGACCTATCATTAGTACATTACTGGCATCTTACAAATTTCTTCCTATGTGGTTATTAATTTCCATCATCCTTTATTTAGCTGCTGAGAGTGTTTTACCTTTGGTGAACAGCAAGAAAACTTGGTCATATTTAATACAGTACACACAAACATATCAGTGACTGTTTAGTTTGCACATGCTTTCATGTGTCGTTTAAGTTTGAAGTGTGCTATCCTTTGTGTTTTAATCTAAGCTATATTGTCCTATGTGACCTCAGTGTATGTAGATTTTAAGAGGTTTTAAAGCGCTCGGTTCTAAGGAGTGTGTGAATGGGCATTAAGACAGTGTAAATCATACCTCACATTAAAGGTAGAGGGGACAACAATCTGCCTTTAATGTGAGGTACGATCTACACTGTCTTAATGCCCATTCGCACACTTGCAACTCCTTAGAACTGAGCGCCTGCAAACCTTTTAAAATCTCTTACGATGGTAGATCTACACGCTGGCGCCATCTATGCGGTGACCCTGGAACTGCATGTCACTAGAGCGAATGTTTGACAGTATTTGCGAGGTCAAATGAACATACTACCTATGAGAAATGTTCCTTGATAACATTGACAAAAGTTTTTCGAGCCAAGAAAAAAAATGATGGGGGAAGACATTGAAAATATGTGGGACAGCCCAGTGTCGCTCTGCTCCCCGATAGGTGGTACCAGTGTGTCCTCTCGTTGAAGAGATTTTAAGAGGGTTCAAGGCATTCGGTTTTAAGAAGTCGCAAGTACGTGAACTGGCCTTTAGTGTGAAGCATGTTGCTAACGTGGCGTTTTATGTTTTTCCGGTGCGTGGACAGTGCAAGGAGCGGTGCTGTTTGCCGAGGTGCTGTCGTGTCTCAAGCGGTCCCTGGCCCGTTTGCTCGTCATCATCGTCAGTCTGGGCTTCGGTATTGTCAAGTGAGTTCACCCTTCTTGGAACGGGGTTCTTGATTTCACCCCGAAACTTAACCTAATCCATAGGTAGTCGCGTTTTCTTGAAAAGTCGTTCATTGTCCAATTTGGCCTCACAGGGGGGGGATCATTAGACATGACAGCTCGGGCGCATGTAGGAAACAGCTTAAAGGGAAGATGGCACACTTCTAAATTTGAGGAAAAACGCTTGAATTGCGTTCATTTGGCCTTTAGAATGACAGGTATCAAAATTATATTTCAATGCGACGCACCGGAGAGCCATACGAGCAATTTCAAAATAGGGCTGAAGACCCGCCTCCCTAGCCTTGGGCAGCCAAAAGATCCGTCGATGACGTCACATACAGCGACTGTCTTTCGCGTTTTTCTCGCGTTTAACAATACTTACACAGCAAATGGTTTGGGTATTCGGGTTCACGGGATGAAAATACACTAGAATTTACTTCTAACTCATTTTTTTCAAGAAGCTCCGTAGCTTCCCTTTAAGGGGGGACATGAGCTTACATTTAAAACTTTTTTTTTAAAAAATTGTTTTTTCAAATTTGAAGTTTTTGGTTTTAGAAACTAATTATACACTCTTACACTAAATTTGATAGACATATGCCAAATAGTTAAGTTGATATAAAATATTTTGAACACGTGAGGCAGTAACAAAGTGAAGGAGTTCTGTGTTTGAATGCAATTATCTCAGTTCCATTTTTTGTTGCAAATTTCATATGAAGGACTCTTTTGTTTGAAAGTAAAAGTATTCTGATATCACAATCAAGATGTTTCTAACCTGAATCTACTTTATATTTTCTTTTTAGTAGAAGTCCTCAGAGAAAAAAACTGTTTTTAAAAATCGACATAGGACAGATATGCATCTCATAGTTTGAGGTAATAACGCTTCTGAAATATTTACATTTGAGTTTAAAAACTAGATAGCCCAAAATTCCACATCCCCCACTTCATATTTGAGCAGTCGAAATGGTGCTTAATAGCTTTATTTGCATATCATAGATTTCTTAACAAAGAGCGACACATCTTATGCAGGTTTATTAAATTGTCCTAGGTACAGGTCCCGTCAAAGTAAAACGGAGCGCCGGAGCGCCGACCGAACTGCACCGCCGCGCTATCTAGCAGCACCGGCTGCAACTGATAGATGCCGTCTGCGCATGCGCGCGTGTCGTTCGCGGCGTCCTCCGTCTTTGTTTTTTGATCCTCGCATTATCGGCGTCTCAAGCTGCCGAACGCTGTTTCGATAAACACCGCTAGGTGTTCGGCTCGGGCTCATACGGGGAGATAACACTGAAGGCAAGTGGGAGGGAGGGGCGAGTCTTGTCGATGAGCACGCTCCTTGTGCTATCAGGTGTCGATTTTAGGAAGAGCGTTGCGCCGCTCGAACCACCGATAGCGTATGGGTGGGAAGAAGAAAACGGAGGCCCCAGCGGAAGGCACGTTCGCATGCGCAGATGTGGCCTATCAGTTCCAGCCGGCGCTGCTAGATAGCGCGGCGATGCAGTTCGGTCGCCGATCCGGCGCTCCGTTTTACTTTGACGGGACCTGTACATCTGATGCTAAATCTCCGCTGCAAATTTCATTCCGATCACCTGAGTAGTTCAGAAGTTAAACCTCTAGCCAGTGTCCCCCCTTAAGAAAGTTGGAGGTTTTCACGCTGCATCGTGCCGCTCTTGGCGCACATTTGTTTGACTCTTCTTTAATAAACATGAATTCAGCTTTTTTTTTTCTTTACAGCCTCAAATTGTACTCGCTGTACACTTTACTCTCGCAGGCCTCGCCTGGGTGCCATGCTACACAGAGTGATCATTGTCGGAGGGGCCTACTTCATTATGGCTTCGGTCGAAGGCTGCCTTCGCACACTCAAGGCAAGAAAGTCTCCTTTTTCTGTTCAGAGCATGTGAGCTTCACGCACTCAGTCACCATGCTTTTGTAGCAGCTACGCGCCAGCACATCCTGTTTAGTAGCCCACTTCCTACAGATAGTGCCAAAGATAGATTACTATCCAGGTAGATTAACATGTCTATCCAAATAGATTACAGTCGAATCTCGTTAATTCGAACTCAAGGGGGACCGAAAATTTCTCTGAATAATGCAAAGTTTGAATTACCGGGAGTTTCCTCCCATAGAGACGCATAGGATGGGACCTGCACATTAGTTTCAATTACAGTAAAACCTCGTTAATTCGGACCTCATGGGACTGGCAAAAATGTCTGAATTATCCGAAAGTCGAAATATCGAAAGGACAAAGAAAACGGTGCGAAAACGTTTCCCTGTGAAATATCTTTATTTTGAGAAGAAATTTGTTATTACCGCCTGCTTTCTGGACGCCGCTTGGGCGGAGACGACAACTTTCTTTAGCGTGGTCGAGTGCTCCACCGCACTCGCACTGTTGGAGCTACGCATCCCGTGCGCGGACAATATAGCACATCAAGGCCTCTTCTAGTTTCGGATGCACCACCTTCCAAGGCCGGTTTCTTTTCGCGTTGAACTTCTCGCTCTCGAAAGCCCGTAGGATATCGGCCTCGATTTTCACGTACGTGGCCAAACGGCTTCTCTTGACGTCGTAACTTTCCGTCACTTGTCGAGAGACGCCGTCCTTCAAGGCCCTCAGTATTTCCACTTTCGTCGCTAAATTCTTAGCTCAGTACAGCGGCAATGGAAAACGAGTAGCACAACTGACCAATAATCGGAGCGGCGAAATCGCGACAGCCGGCGCTATTTTTCCCGAGCGCATCGATAGCGAGAGTGCCGGTCACGTTGCATTTTTCAACGCGGGAGTGGCCGGCGAAAAATTGAGGGATAAGATAGCTGTTAAAATGGCGGACTTTAGGATCCCTGCGTTAAGGCATAAAACGTGACTGTCACTCTTGCTATCGGCACGCTTGGGAACAATTGCGGTCGTCGGTCACTTGTGCTACCCTTTTTCCGTTGCAGCTATGCTTCTGTTGTTTCCATGCCAGGAGAGTAGAGCGCTGAAGCACGGCAATCCAGAGCAAAACTGGTGCGAAACACCGAGAACCGGAAGAGCGAAGAGCCATGGGAAAACCGGAAAAACCACGTGTGCACCTCGGATGGATAGCGGTCATACCCTTTGGAACGGACGGTAGCTAGCGCCACCTGCCGAATTCGTCCGAATTAACTGTAGCGCGCCACATTCCCTCCGAATCAATGAGCGTTTGGTGCCATTGACTAATACACACGTTTGACGGGACCGGATCGGCAGTTCAAATTATCCGAATTTCTGAATTATCGGGGGTTAAATTAACGAGGTTTTACTGTATCTGCAAGTTTGAATTAACGAGATTCGACTGTACTTACCGGATCAATTATCCGGAAATAAATATCCAGATAATCTATCTGGAGATAGTAATCCGGATATCCTATCTGGATATCTATTAGGATAATGTACTATCTGGATAGAATACTATCTATAGATTACTATCCATAGTATAGTAATCTGCTAATATCCAGCCTTTCTGTTTATTAAAACTGCTTGTAGCCAGTCTTGTGTCTTGGCTCCCTTCTTGTTCTCGGCACAGCTCGGTTTTGTTGTCGAAGCTGACCTTGGAGCCCACGAGATGGTGTATAGCTCTTGCCCAGCTTATATCTATAGTCGATTGCAGGCTTAAAGTGGCGGGACAAGCTCTGCCCACAAAGCCTTCCAGTCTTTCCACTTTACCAAAGCAAATGCTGGCAAAGAGTAACCTTGCCACGAACCAGCAACAGCGTGTTCTCTTTCTGGCATCCCTTGCAGCCCAAGAACAATCCAGATCACCTCCAGACGTTCCTGGGTGTCGGGCTTGCCCTCGTGGACAGCGGGATCTGCTGGTGGATATCCTTTGTGGGACGACCTTTCTGGGGGCCGCATGGTGTCGTCGGTTGCATTGATTTAGTAGTACGACGGGTGTGAACTCAATCTGATGGTGTAAGTGTTTCACGTGATCGCTCAAGGACGCGCATCGAGACGATTTTTAAACTTGGGCTGAATCGTGCTCATGACAGACCTTTGGTGTTGTGTAAGTGTAGAATGCACATTAGTATTTAGTTCCATTCCCTCGTTTCCATGGGGTAGAAAGAAATAGATTTCGTGCATTCATTTTCTATTTGGCTCAATAGGGGGTCTAACTCTCGTCTGTGTACGCGATGGGTGCCATGAAGGTACGTACAAGGTGCACCTTTTTATCTTTTTTTATCGAGTCAAAAATTATTTTGTCATTTGTCGATTCAGCAGGTGTAAAAAGGATTTGAGGAACAGTCACTCCTAGGGCCATGGAATGCCTCTTTTGAGCTCCCAGAAGTGCTTCTGGATGTTATTAAATCTTGAGAGTCCCAAGATTGAAGAAGGGAAACCGAATGTAGGCAGTTTGAAGCACCCAAACGCACAAAATTCCGATTTCTCCAGTCTCTACTTCTGAGCCGGTTTTCTCGAAACGATGGTAAACCCATTTTGGTAAACCACGGTGCCTAGGAAGGAAAAAGTACCTAGGTACTGTAATGAACAGCTGGATAAAGAACAACAATAGTTATTTTTGATTGGGCAGTAAGATGCGCCATCTATCGGTGAAACAAGCTAGTCATTTTGTTTATCCTCTTTTTCCGCTGGGTGTTATCGATCCAGTATGGTATTTTAAGTCAAAATATAGTAATGTTGTACTTGAAGACCAATTTATTTGCTTCAGATGGTACGAAGAAATTTTAGCTACTATGCTAGAGTTGTCTGACGAATATTCGAAAATGTAAGAAACACTTCCTTCAATATGTTTCGCCATAAACAACGCATAACTTTCCCGTGTCCCTTCCAGTCTGGCAACGCCGGTGCTGTAGTCTCGTTTTCGTTCCTTGCGACGCACGTTTTTGCGATTCCTGCTGATCTCAACTGTTTGCCCCCATTTCCTTTTGCCCAACCGATCCACCGGTGACGAGGAGCTAAGCTTCTCGTCACCGTTGAATTGCTGGCCATTGGGGATATGTAGAAACCTCGATGCTGTCGGCATACTGTCGGCGCACTGCGAACAGAAAAAACAGTACAATGTCCCAGCTGTTCACCCGGAACGAAGACTTTATAGAAAATAACCCCCTTTCTTCGCGAAGTAGCCGCTGCTCACGAGTTGGCGTGCATAGTGTAACACATTAAACAAGTTAGTATAAATATATACCAACACTTGTTCGCAAAACATTTTTTTACTCACCTTAAAAACACTTGCAAGGCTTATGTACCGTCATATGTCTTGGACCCCGGACTGCTGAAGAGTGTTGCGTTCGCGGAATGCTGCCGTCGGTTAGTTTAGTAGTCCCTTTGAACTACCGCTTTGCTTTACGTGCTAATAGGTTGATGGTGCGTCATTAATATAACAGCCGGATCGAAATGAATGTTCAGCAGAACCAAGAAGAACTATTAGCCCTAATTAAACAACGTCGCGGCCATTTTGCTTGTAGGTACTGCTCCTCCCTCCGCGCCCCTGCTCTCCCAGTCACGTGACCTAGAATTCCCCCTTCTAGGGACAATAGTTAACTTTAACCCACGGTCCGCTTTCGAGAAAACGGGCCCTGGTGCTTAAACAATGCACTTCCATCCCTTGCCTTCAGCAGTTTTTTTTTTTTTTTTTTAATTGAAATTACTTCAGTTTACCCATTGCTTTTTCTGGGTGATGAATCTTTTGTACTTCATTGTCAAAACTAAGTTTTTAAAGTGCAGCAATCTTTTACACCAAATTTGAATTTCAACTTGCATTTTCATTGCCATCATGCTCACTTGAAAGCATGGGCGCCGACTATAGGGGGTGAGAGCTCTGTGGCCATCTGGTGAGAGCTTGCATCCATTTGCTCACAGTTTTAATTTGACTATTTACTATTGGTCTTTCTCTGTATTTTAATGCGACAGCATTTCCCCCCTCAATTTCGTGGGACTTTCTGGCCTTCTAATGTGCAGTAGGTATGCACAGTAGACCATTTCAGCTCACTGTGAGTGAGCTGAAATGGTCTATTGTGCTGCGCGTAAGCGGAGCGGCTGTGTGCACTCTTTCACATTCGAACCCTCTTTGAAGGACATGACGACCTTGACCTCGTTGTAGAGGTCATCCCAGAGGGCCTCGAGATTGCCCTAGAGGTTGTCCCAGACATCGTCTTTGGGGTCATCATAGAGGTCGTTCTAGATGTCGTCTTCGAAGTCGTCCTCTAGGACATCGTTCTTGAGGTCGTCCTTGAGGCTGGCCTACAGGTTGTCCTAGAGGTCTCCTAGACATTGTCCTTGAGCTCATCCTAGACGTCATTCTTTTTTTTCATCCCCTAGGACGTCGTCTGTGACCTCGAATCAAAAGGAGGTGAACATGACGAATGCTAGCGCAATTCATAGACAACCAACAATAGTGGTTTCTGCAGCAAATTTTTACGTTAGGTTGTTTTGTTTCTGGCACCTATATTACACTCGTGCTGCCATGCCCAATTAACACCTCATTTTGTTTATTTTTGCCTTAAGCATATGGGGTTGAGCTTCTTGTCTTCGACGCGCAGAGTTAAAAAGTTGCCGTGTTGCGACCTTCAGAACGCAAAAGGATACCCTGAACACTCGGACGAAGTTTGGCGCGTTTTTCGAGGAACATTGCACTGTTCTTCTTGACTGCCAACCCACATCTTCAGCAGTCTAAGCCAGACGACACGAACGCTGCGCCTACGGCGCAATGTAGTCAAGCTGTCGCTCTACAGGCACTTCACCAACACGCTCATCTTTGCTGTGCTGGGTGAGTCGTTCAGGGTGATCGAGGCGCAGTGTCCATGTGAGAATCGCTCCTTTGCTTCTTGCAGCATCCATTGTGTTCATGGTCTGGGTGACGTTCGACCATCGTACCGTGGAGTGCCTCACGGCGAGTATTGTTTATTCGTTTGAAGCGTCTGCCGCCGTCAATGACAAGGTTTCGACGATCTGAAATTTTCTGGTTCTGTCATATCTAATTATTGGCGACATTGCTAAATGTGGTAACGTTAGGTGACTTTTGTAAAAACTTTAAAAAAATCTTTGCTCCCTCCAGGAATCTGGGGTCAACAAGCTTATGGCAGAAGCCACAAAGCATGTTGCTCGGCGATAAACGTTGTAAAGTTAACAAACAATAACTTTACAATGAACGGTATAGGAACAGGGCAGATTATGATATGCTCTCCTGTAGCCTACGACCAACAAATTTCCAAAAATCTCCCACACAATGTTCTTTATATAGCAAACTATTTGGTCGGGTAATGGCCATTTCAAATCCGCTTGCTGCGAAAGCACACGCCTTGCGTGCTACGTGGATGTCGACCGCACAAAAACGGCTTTACCCTGATTGCTCCAAAAGTCTGCAAACTTCGCCATGACAAGTTACATTGCTTCCAGAAAAGCCAAATGCAAAAGATGTTGTCAGTTGCCGCAACCTTAAAGGGATGCATAACTCACGAATTCCTCTTTTTGTTAAGTGCCTAAATAGGACATGTGTCACAAAAGAACCTTTCCTCGAAAAAAAATGACCGCATCTCCACGTAGTGAATGATGTTGATTGGGGCGAAGCTCTGGTGGTGCTGATATCCTGAGCCGCAGCATGCCGAGCTTTTCGTTCGTTTTCATCCATGTCAGAAAGAGAATGTGTGGTATGGAATGTGGTTATATACTCATTTGAGCATTTGACCGCAGCGCCCTCTCGTCTATAAACGTTGAGCCAATGCATGCAAAGTTTAATGCGATTATATACGCATTTGACCGCAGCGCCCTCTCCTGTATAGACGTTGAGCGGCTACAAGAGCTGGAGATGACATCCCCAGCTCTTGAGTTACTACCACATCTCGGAGCCCCCTACTCGTCCCGCAGTTGTGGCCGAGTGGTTAAGGTGATGGATTAGAAATCCATTGGGGTCTTCCCACACAGCTTCGAATCCTGTCGACTGCGCAAACACTTTTACTTTTTTTAAGAAGACAGATGGGATGGCAATCGATGTGAGCACGGACGCCGGACAAGGCTAGACCCTAAGGAGCTTCGCCCCTAAAACTCGTTTTGGGACAGATCTTGAGGGAAAAACAAGTCGTCTCAAAATAGAGGCACGAAATAGGAGCACGTCGCAACACTAACAAGTCTCGCTGTCTAAACGTTAGGTGCTGAAAATTTAAACATTCTTTTTATGGGGATGAAATTTAATATTCTATGTACTAAGCACTTAAACAAAGAAAATTGCCCCTTTCCCTCACCATTGTCGCAAAGGTAACACAGAATGTATTTAAAGCCGAGTTAGGTGCTCGGTGCTGCATCACATTCTTAGACATTTTAATGTACATAAAGAGGTGCCAAAACATCATTTGCAAGGTCTGCACCTAGGATATAGTTGTTTTCGAGCCCTTTAGTGTGCAAGAGCACTGGCGCGGCGCATTGTAAAAGTCGCCCCTTTGCAGCACTAGAGTGACAAATGGCCAATTCGTCTGGGCCCGCATCACACCGGTGCAGTGTGGTTCGTGGTACACGGAAGGCTAGAGGGGAGCTTCCTTCTCTCCCCGCCAGTCTTTCGTGTACTAAAGTGGAAAGAGTTTACTGCACTGGACGGGTGCAATGTGTTTCAGGCGAATAGGCCAAAAGATAGTGGTAACTTAGAATGTGATGTATTAGCGTGGAGAAACTCTGTATGTATGTGGAACAGCCCTGTGTCTTTCAAAGTAAGTGCACGAGCGCTCCGTGGAAGTCTCGGGTACGCCATCTTCACCGATTGCGGTGTAAATGTGATTTTCTCGAAGCCTGTTGGAGTGAGAGACTCAGTAGGTGGAGTGTGCGGAAAACTGAACAGTTGGAACGGGACAGCGCCGAGCAGAATCCTGGGACTAGGTCGCGGCAAGAGAGAACCAAACACTTGGAAATACAGTGTAGACCGCATATAACGTATGTCGCGGGAGTCGCGAAAATCCGCACTATAAGCGGTACCGCGCTATAACCAAAACATCAATTTTTCAGGCCAAAATACATGTCATGAGACAACTTACCTTTATAAAAGAATTTTATTTTATGTTTGATGAAAAATAAAGCTTAGTTTGAGGAAAGTCTTTATTTCACCAGACTAGTACAGTTCTGTCTCAGTTTTGAAAGAAATGAGCGGCTTTTGCCTGGCGCAACCTTTTAACGGCGTCGCGGGTTGCGGACGAACGTTGCGAGCGTTCAGGATTGCTAACACTAATCACTTTTCACCGGTGATGAAAACTCATGAAAATTCGCATCCTTCATACGGTACGCGCCAGTAATACCTTCAACTTGAGCACATGCATGAAATGCGCCAAATAAGAAATCCGGGCGATGTTCGAGGACACAAATGCTTAGAAATCGCCACTGTAGTCGAAGTAACCAAACACGACGACAAGTGTCTTGTCTTGAGAGCGCCGCCACGACATCGCCGCACGAGTTGGTGGATCTTCCCTTCTAGTATGTGCTGGGTTATCATAGTGACACACAACGAAAATTCACAGTCAAGGATAGTGCTTTTACGCGGAACGATGAGCTTCCACCACGCCGCCTACGACGACGATCACAACCGACGCCATGTTTGCGGATAGAAGCAGCCGGCCCGCGACCGGCATGCAACACGCGCGAACACTTCTCCTCGACTTGCAATTGGTTTGTCGTTGCGGTTGTTTTCCAACGCAGCGGAGAGACGCATGCACATGAACGACACGTGCGTGCATCCCTCCGTCGCTATGGCAACTGAAGCCTCTCTCTTCGCTTCTCCCCGTTACTTCGAGCAACCTCTTTGCTGCGCGAGTGCCGGTTGCAACTAGCGCCGTCAGCTCCGGTCGTCGGCGCGGTTGGCGGGTTGTTCCAGAAACCGCACTATAACCGGTATTTCTCTTCACGCGCCTGCATTTTAAGCGGTATGGAGTTCTATGGGAGGCGAACCGGTGGTTTAAAAAAGTTGCGTGATACCCGGTCATGCACTATAAGCGGTTACGTTGTAAGTGGTCTATACTATACTTGAACTCGTCGTGGCAAAGAAGTCTGCTTTTGGTCTTTCTCTGCTTTTCTGTCGCTCTTGCGCCCTTCCTCCGGGGAAGCCTGGAGCACACTCGCTTGACGGAGCAGAGTGCCGCCATACGTTTGAACACGCTATGCCTTACCTTCGCCGGGAGCAGCACGGAGGCACTAAAAGTTTGGCTGGCACCAACATCCAACCGGCGAGATCAGCGCTACGTCGGCCGGCAGTTGGCCTGTCGACTTTCATTGCCGGCACCTAACCGAATACAGCTAAATACCAGCCATATAACGCGTACTGCGCCGGAAAAGGAATGAAGTCGATAAGCACTCAAACTACCTCGACTCATCGCGACAAAATGAACAGGCCTAATCTATCGTCAGCTTTCTTTCTCTACTTGTCAGTTGCTCAAGAAGCCCGTAGCTCGCTCTTTTAGCCTCTGCAAGGGGTAGATTGTGGCTCCATACAAATATGACCTGCGGGGAGGGAGTACCTCGGACTTACTCGAGCGGGACGTCCGGCTGGCATTCGTATTGAACCGGCGAAGGTGATGAACGTAGCGTCGGCGTTCGGCTGGCAGTGGGCGTTTTATTTTCTGCTTCACGTGTGCGAAATGGAAATGGTTAAGTGCCAGCCATGTAACGCAGTATATATGTGAAAATGTTTGGGAGAGTTCGACGACTCTTTAATTCGTAGCATCGGTACGGTGCCCAGAACGCTTCTCCGACTCGTGCATTTACCGTATCCAAAACACAGTCCCTTGGTTCTCGCCTGCCGACGTCGCAGGAGCATCGTGCCGTCACTTGTCGCGATCCCAGGGGTGTTGCAGCAGTGGTGGTAGATGTGGCAGATGCCCGATCTGCCGCGGGTCGCTTTCCGGTTCGACGGACCACAAAAGCTTTGATATCCTGAAGTTGGGACGCCGCGACAATAGCAACACTCTCTTTTGAAAAACACGAAAGAATAAAGGAGCGTGGGGACAAGGACGGATGGTACGGTTCTTTTTGTACTGCCCATCTTCGTCCCTACGTTATTTTATTCGTTCATGTTTTTTGTATCTTCTTTCCCAAGACCGACCGGTGGGACCGCGACGTTCGACGGTGTGAAGCTCCGGCTTTTGCGACGTCGTTTGTTACCACTTGGGGACCACTTTAAACTCATGGGTGGAATGCAGGGCGCAAGTTCATCTGCTTCTTGCGCAGGGGTAGCAGCGATTTTGGAACAATGCCGAGCTCCATCTGGTGAAGATTGGAGGGATGTTGGGTAGACCTCACTGCTACCTGCCTCGAGGTCTACCCACCATTCTTTCAATCGCAGCCCGGCGTTCTGGCATCACCGCAACCCCGGGGCAAGAAGAAGACGAACTTGCCCTCCGAATGGGATGCCAGACACTCAGGTTGGAGACAGATTCTGGGCACCGTAGTATCGACGACACAACTGACCGAACCGTGAGCGGTTGTAGACGTTGGAGCGATGCGCAAGGCCCTGCCAAGTGCTTGTCGTTAAATGCGTGCCCTTCTGACCGTCTCCCACCAGGACTGGAAGGAGCTGTGGTTTGACGAGGGCTACTGGCAGCTCCTCTTCTCTGTCGTGCTGCTGGTCATCATGTTCCTGTGGAGGCCCACAAACAACAACCAGAGGTTAGTCTGGCGTTATTTGCCGTCTTTGTTCGCCGTGCCGATCACAACCTCGTACGGTCGGCAGGTACGCCTTCACGCCGCTGCTCGATGCCGCAGATGACGAGTTCGACGAGGACTTCCAGCAGCCGGCAAACGACGCTTTTGGTGAGGCAACCAGTCACTGTCCTCTAGTGCAGTGGTTCTCAAAGGGAGGTCTGCAAAACCCTCGCCTCAACTCTCGACCCACTCCCCTTCTCTCTTCTTAAAAGTTTCTTGTAGCGTGAGCTACACTGGCCGAGGTTGAGCAGTTTTGCGTGACTCCTGGAGGGCCGTGCTGCGCATGCGCAAGCAGTAGTGACGTCACACGGCGCACAGCCGGCGTGCCGGAGCCGTTGCCGTGCCTCGCCGGTCCGCGTATTTCGGAGGAGTGACGTCATAGCCACGGCAGATGCACTGGCGCCGCCTCGTGCCCAGCTGTGCGCCTCCATTGCGCAGTAGCCAAGTCTCACGCTGCACCAGAGCCGCTTGATAGCGCCTCTCATTTTTTTGTTGAATCTGGCTAGATGGCACAAGCTACAGCCCATTATAAAAGGTACAGCCATTGCCATCGATCCATCCATTCAGCCTTTTACTTGATGAAGGATCACTTCTCCTGTCTATGACAGGAAAGGGTGCCCTTTTCATACTTCAATTAGTTTCTTACTTTATAGCCTCCCCCCCCCCCACTTCCCCTTTCCTTCCTGGCATGGGGTCCCCCATCACGTAGGCCGGTCACCAAGGGGCCCCCGGACACCTCCATGCTGAGAACCACTGCACTAGTGCATCCTTGTTCTTGGGGTGAAAGGAATAGTAAAACTGTCACTAGAGTTTAGCCCCGTAAAGCTCGGAATGAATCTTGAATTTGTTCGTTCATTTGTTTATTTTCCGCACGCATGAACAGCGACGCCTTGGCAGTTATGCACAAACAGAGAGATTAAAATTAATCTGAAATTTGAGCTAAAAACAGCAATATTTTTTGCACCAAAAGTATTATAGAAGTGTTGGAGAAGGTATTTCTACAAAAATGAGTTAAGAAGACAAGAAACGAGATTTAACAAAGTGGGACAGTTGGTTTGTTTTATAAGTTGCCCAAATTCGTCATAAACTGTACGACCTACATAATGATCATAAAAAAAAAATTAGAAAAAAAAATGCTTTTGAACATTTCATTGACTTGTACACCCAACAAAGTTACAGACAATGTACCAAAAAATGTGAGGCATATAAAGATTTTTGCCTGCAATTTTTTGCGATAAATGGTAGGAAATTATAGATATTACCAGTGTGTTATTTCATGGTCCTAAAAAGACTGCAGTACCAGTAGTTTCTGCAATTGATGGCATAACTCAATTGATCGATTGTACCAGAGGGAATGAAGATGCGGGGAGGCAAGCCTGGCAGTCTCCCTTCGAAAGACAAGCAGGACAACAACAGTGCGGTGAGTTCTAAAGGACATTCCAGTTCATACCTGCCATAAGTCATAGAGTTTTTGGAGGGGTCTCCGAAAGCAATCCGTGCTTACCTCGCAATTCGTTCACTCACGACCAAAGGAGGACGATCTCAAGTGGGTCGAAGAAACGATACCTTCCTCGTTGAGCGACACGTGAGTATATGGTTTTCCAACAACAAACCAACCGTGCCGGTATTTCTTTTCCGTAAAATTACTTCCATTTCAGGGCACTTCCAAGTCTCATGGATTCGGATGAGGTGAGTTTTTGGCTTCCTGCACTTCAGAGGTTGCCGACACAATGCCAATCACCACGACGCGAATGTTGGCGTTGATCCCGCGTCGAAACCCGCAACTTGGTTGCTGCGACTCAAGAATATTAGAAGGCAGTAGCAACCGATCCGGGATTCAACTCTTTCGCTTAATTAAGCTCTCCCCCGGTGCTAGTATCTTTGGTGAGTGAAGATCAGGTTTGGGGGCTGTCTGGTTTAGAGTTCAATCATTTTTTGCGGGCAGGTAGCATCGGGAAGGGGCTGCATTTTTAAACTATCCCAAGTCGCATTGAGTAGGCTCAGCTGGAAAAAGTCCTTTTTTTTTTTTTTTTTTAAGGTGAAAGCTTATGTCTCATTGTTCAGTCAACCTTCGAAGTCCTTGAGCGAAAATGCGTCGAGACAGACACGAAAGGTACCAAAATCCACGGTTCGCCACTGGACCATGAGATGGTGTTACTCGTGCCAGAATCAGCGGAGTTGCTATATTTCTCCAAAAAGACTTCGCTCTTCCCCCTTGGCTGGTGTCAAACATTGACCATTCGTTCGGTATGTTTGACACGGTACCCCTCAGCCACGAGCGGAGGGTTACCACCACATCCGTAAATCGTGTGTCTGTCTTTAATTTCATCAGTGCTTCGGCTTTCGCCTTCAAGTCGTCTTAGGTATAACATAAGAGACCCTGTGAATTTTTTATCCTTTCGTCCTTTTCACGGACCAACATTCGTTTGTCTTGACCTCACACACAAACAGACCAATCGTTGGAGCTACCGGCCATTACTACACGATGCATTTTTTTTTTGGCACAGTGCCTTGAAACTAAAATTTGTCAAGCAGAGATCTGTATTAGCTACAAGAATTCTAGGGATATGTTCAGTTGTCGCCAGCACGATATAGAGGTTGGTTGCGAAACTGTCACCCATTTGAGACTTACGCGAAAGAATGAACTTGCGAGTTTGGTTTGCAGGAGATCATGACCGTGAGATTCGAGAGGAACAAGATGGAATGAGCGCCGGCTCAAGTTGCGCAAGGGACACCAACTTCCGTCCGGCCAGAGTGTCGAAAGTGTCGAACTGCGCCCGTGAACGTGGCAGAGACCGTTTCAATTCCCAAGAAAGAAAACGCAGAGCTGGATCTCGCTGGAACCCGTCTTTTCTTTTTAAATCATACGTCGTCTCCCCTTGTGTTTGTTTATTTACCGACAGAAGACGATGCAAGTGCACCCATGCCTACCAAGAAACAGTCTTTCACACAAACGGTTTCACGAGCTTCTTATGTGCCAGTCTTGTGTTGTATTTTTTTTGTGCAGCGTTTCCTCATTGATTTTTTGCCCACCTGAAGTTGGTCTGTCTGCGCAGTGAATAGAATGTGCACATCCCAACTCTGTTTGTTTCCTCAACGGTTTGCCTAGTAGCAAATTGCGCAGTGCCGCGGTGACGGTCGAGAATACGGCGACGGAGCATATCGAGAATTCCCGCCGAGTGACGGTGCATTCGCAGAGTTGACGTCGATCCCCGAACACAGGCGATTCTGTTCGGGTTTATTTCTGCGGCTATCGCACTCGACGGCTTCCTACTGGTCAAAGAAGCTTTGTCTGCAGAGCCTGTGGCATGCCTGTTTCGGATGTCTTTTGCAGGAAATGTGTACAAAGTGCTTTAAATTATTTGTAGTGTCTGTAGATACCCAAACAATAAAGTTTAATTTCGGCTTCGACTACTACTGCATCGCATTTTGCTTGCCGTTGCTTTTCAAGCATTCGGAAGAGGCTATGTCATCTTCGTATGCTGTCTGCCTTTTGTTTTTATCTCGACACACGGCTGAGGTTGCTTTTTGCTTTCCACTCGTACAGGGGTGCAAGACAAATTCAACCAAGAACATTTTTTTATGCGAAAGCATTAATGCCTTATTACGCGAAAATCCGGCATCGTTGGCGGCCAAGAGAGTGTGGTCACATTTCTCGGAGAAGTTCCTGTCAACAAAGTAAAATAATGGTAATGAAAAGAAAATTCGGTATATTTCGTTCTGGGTGGGAGTCTAACCTGGGCCTCAGGGTTCAATTCCGGAAGTTGATGAAGTGCGAGAGATAAACACACTTCCCCAACGCCACGGTGGCTCCACGGTTCTGGCTGACTAAAGGTATGCCTATGCTCCGTTTTACAATAACTTTGAGAACTGTGGCAACTAGGGCCACGCGACCCAGTAAGGGCGTCTGAGCGAGGCACGTGATCCTACGACACGGGAGCATATGTGTCGCTACGCCAAATGTAAGGTGCGAGACCCGGAGCAACCGGCTCTCGTCTGCTAGCCAAGAGTCATCCGCTCCGAAACCCACCAACTTCGGATGAACAGCCACCGCAGCATATTTGTCCGCTAGAATAGCGAGCACCTCGGGAACAGTTCATGAGACAACCATACACTCAATTTAGCCGAGAATCTGACAGGTGCTAATGCCAGGGCGCAAAGCGACGTTTTGAGCGTAAACGGCCGATTACGCAGCTGTAATCGCCACCAGCCATGGAGCTACAAGGAGAGAAAAATCTGTAGTGGATACGGATGCAACGTTACTTTCTTGGTTTGTATATAATGAAAACAAGTTTGTGATTATTTATTCTTCATTTGTTAAAGATTGAAGCGCGCGAGGTCAATCGCCTTCAACAGAAAAAGAAGCCTAGAGCTACATCTTGTCATACAGCGCTGTTGCTGTAGCAGTAACTAGGTCCCCGTGGCCTCGACCATGGAGTGTTATCACGTGCCTCTCTCCAACGCTCTTACTGGGTCACGGGGGCCGCAGCCTCCACGGTTCGCCAAGTTCTTGTGAAACGGAGTATAGTGCTTGCATCATTGCACATATCGTGTCTGACTAAAGCTGACTAAAGCTGTGGCCAGTGCATGCGTCATCGGGCACATGACTGCGCAGCCAATGGGGAGGGGGTGGCGCCACGTCATAATTATGAAAACATTTCACCAAAGGGACTATAATGCTTCCGCATTCCCATACATAAGCAATCTTAAGTTTTTTTTTTTTTACTTTGACAGTTTTTACAATGCCGGGTGTTGCCATTTTGGCAAGAAACAATACAAAGAAACATTTCCCAAGGCCGGAAAAGTACAACATTATGTAGCAATGTAACATTAATGAAACGGGACAAAGGACAGGCGCCTACAACTCAACAAGCATAAATGTGTAGTAGGTATTTATAAGGCCTCTTCGCCAGGGCTGGCCCCACATCACCAAGCACCTTGGGCAAACTCCGGCCGTGGTGCCCCCTTCCCTTTCAGAGCGCGGCTCTTAGGCGCCCGTTTCCGGCTAGAGCGGCGTTGCCGTCGGCGTAACCGCGCAGTGCGTTATGGGAAACGTCCCATAATGCACCATGGTGACGCGCGCGTTGCAATATAGGATGTTTCCCATAATGCACTGCGCGGGAGGTAGGAGGATGGAGAAGGGAAGAAGGGGAGGAGTAGAAGAGGAGGCAGAAGGAGAGGGTACGGATGAGGGGCATACCGTACCCTTTCCTCCTCAAGAGCTCCACTCTAATTCGGCATTACGGGGAGTTGTAAACGTCTTTTTTTATATGCCCTTATCTACTCAGTACAATATCACGTTAGTAAACGTGTGATTAGTGGCCCAATGCGAGCGTTTCATCAGGCGAGGACAGCATTCCAAAAAAGAACGACGATTTGAGCCATTGCCTCGTGTCGGGCGCTGTGTTCAAATAAATCAAAAAGCTAAAAAAATTAGTCGTTTACAATTCTCTGTAATGCTGAATTAGAACGCAGCTCTTGAGGAGGAGGACAAGAGAGTACGACGGGGGAGGACGTCACATGATGTCCTCCCCCTTCATATGTCACAAGACGTCCTCTCCTTCCCCCCTTTGTAACGTCACGTGTGACATTATTATAGAAAACGTCCCGCTTAATTTAGCGAAAAATTTTCCTGCTAAATTTAGCAGGAAAATTTTATTCCCAGGACGTCACGTGACGTTATGTGGGCATTATCATGGGAAACGTCCCATAATGACGTCGCACATGAAATTGACCTGTGACGACGCACGTAATTTTTCATGTCGCGTCGTGTGTGATGTCTCGTGACTTTTTTTGTGACCCCTCGTGACGTCATGAGAACGTCGTATGACACGGGTATAAGTCGTGCAAAACAGTAGCGCTCAAGATTCGTCCTAACACTGCCGAGTTCCCCCTGTTTTTAGTGTGGTGGGCATCACACCTATGGAATTTCTCACCACACACTCGCAGAAACAGTTGGAAGCAAAATGAAAAAAGGCACACGAAAGACCGAACAAAGATGGACTACATGAGAAAGCACCGACTACCATCCGACATAATAGAAGAGGAAACCAGCAGAGTCTTTGTCCAGTCTTTCGTGCACTGTTTTTTTCTTTTATTACGTTTAGCAATTGCTAACTCGCCCATCTTACAGTAGCTTGAAGCGTTCATGCTACACACTAGTCATTCCCCCAGCACAAACAGTCCCAATCGTGAGGGTCAATTCGCTCTTGAGTGTATTCGCTCAAATCATTTGCCCTCACCTTCAGATGTGAAGTGAGGAAGCTCGTTGGTGCCAAAATTTCACGGGTTTTACAGAAAAACAAGAGGTCAAGTGAAGCGCGCGAGTTCAGTGAGCTTGCGAGTTTGAGCGGGTTAATGAATTTGAGTGAGAGAATGAAGGTGAGTGCACTGTGAGGCAGAGCGAGTGGCAAGTTTGTTCCTAGCTGGATGTTTGAGGCTGATAGAATTGCCATCTCTGAATTTGAGATTGCTGCAAATTTGAACGAGTTCAACTGACATCCGACTCATGGTGTTGACCATTCTCGACTGGTGGCAATAAGAACCGAGATAGGAACTCAGGCACACAAAACAGCTTGGGATTTTTAACATCACTCCGCGCGACATCGTGCCGAGTCTCAGGCTGTTAAAGGCAGAGGCTCCACAGCAGCCATTTATCTTGAACTTGTCCAAGCACGCGACTTTTGGTTTTGACCCAATTTAAACGAAGGTATTGCAATCTTGTCACTTCGTCATATGTGCACACCTTGTAAAAGTCCAATTGTCATAGAAATATAAAACTTGGTCACCAGTTTTTGCCTCCGTCGTTATTTCAACGAGCTAATCTTTTTAAATTTATTTTAAAGAATAGTTTGTTTAACTGCACATGCCTGTATGGTCTCGCATAGATCTAACATTTCGGAGTTGAGGCACATTTAAAGAATTAAAAATCTTCGCAAAAGCTTTACTTTTTCAACTAATTTCAAGCTGAGAAAGAACACAAATATTCACACTTGCGTGGGTGTATGACATAAGGAGTGTGGACAATGAGGAAAAAAGAATCAGATTGAAAAAAAGTGTACATCGCAGTGTCCGTGGAGGGGAGCTGAATCCTGGTCAGGGTTCACGCTTTGATTTCTTGATGCCAGGTATTTTGGCGCGTTGGGGCTGGGTAGTGGACCAGACAGGATGGCTTGAAGTGGCAGACGGGCAATCTTGGAGGCCTGCTGAGCAGGCCTGTATTTGTGGACGACAAACTGAAGGTTCGCCGACCACGCCGTCATTGCAGGACTGGTCCTTGATCACACTGCCTGTTCTGTCACCTTCCTCCTCTTCTTTCTCTGCCACAGGCCACTCATGCCAAATTTCCTCCAAGCACAATGCACACAGTCAAGCAGCCACATCAACATTATTCCCCTTGTCGTCATTGTCTTTAACACCCGTTGAAGTCCAAAATCACTGGACGGTTCACCACAATCATTCCCAACTTAAGGGAGTGACTTCTGTCAAATAACGTCTACTGCATGTAAAAAAAAACTGTCCGCAAATTATATCACAGTTTAGACATTTAACACTCGTTCAAAGTTCCGGTTTCTCCCACACACAAACACATGCAAATTGAATGATTGAACAGCCTCGTCATACGCACATTCAACTCAAAATTTAAAACTGATTCAACTTATTGCACACAATGTATCAAGATAAGAGTCTTATGCAACAGACATATGACTCATATAATCGGCAGCCACATTTTCACAGTCCTCAATGCCTTCGACTGTAAAGTCGAATACATTGAGGTGCTCCACGAGCATCAAGCTCCAACGCAGAGTTTATGTACAATAAAGGCTGATGGTCGCTCTGCAGAATGAATGGTTTTCCAAACAGGTACACGTGAAATTTCTTGATTGCCCATATCAGTGCAAGACCTTCTCGCTCTCTCGTCAGTGGCCAGCTTCACGAGGTAGCAGTTTACGACTTGTGTAATCTACAGGATGGAGTATCCCATTATGCCACTGCACGAGAACAGCAACCACGCTTGTGGATGAAGCATCCGTACTACGCACAAAGGATTCAGAAAAGAGTGGTGCCTTTAAGATGGGTCGACTGGACAGTAGTTCTTTCAATTTCTCAAAAGCACCTTGTTTCATTTTCCCCCAACTCACTTTGTTCAAGGCCCTCTTTAGCAGTTGTAAAATTTCAGGCTATTGCAGCACTTGAATAGGAATGCCAGTGGTGGTCTTCACCCTGCACTTGTCAAGACCTTGGCAGCCCCTTTGCTTTAGAAATATGGTCAGTTTTTGGTGACATCTCTCGAGAAACTGTTCCGACACTACTTTGTCCCGAAGTGCGTAGTAAGTACGCTCCATTTCGGCCATTCCTTGCTAATGGTCACGATACCCCAACAGGCGACCGGTAAACTGTCTGCCTGTCTC